ATTTTATATGTGAGCATTATTTCGTTCAATAGCATCTACAAACCTTCTCCCATAGTTTTTGATAGCTGTGGAATGATTGACAAATTCGCACTCGCTTTCACTTTAAAGTAAATAAAACGTAAGATTGCCTGTTCAAGCTGTTGCCGCCTGCATAAATAATACTTATCCTATTCAAATAATGCGATCTTATTTCGTCCAAATGCCAAGTTTTGCAGACCTTTATAATGCTCGAAAGCGAGCAGAACATACCAAAAGTCCAAAGGAGAACGGTGGCGAGGTACTTTCATTTTATGTTACTACCAGAATTTAAGAAACCGTTGGGAGCGGCTTGCTACTATTGTTAGACAATGCGGCAATGAAGTGAACAAGCCCTTTCAGAGAAGGAAATTGCGAAATGGCCTTTATTTACAGCATTTTGCCGATGTGTCATCGGAAAATTCGCCTAAGCAGGTTCGCTATTACTTGTCAAAACTTATAAATGCTGGATTTATTTTATCCGGTGTGCTAGAGAGCGCATTGGGCATATTCACCTAGTTTTTGAGAACCCTTTTTAGTTTATGATAAAAGGGGATGAAATATTCGAGCGGCCTTATCATTTTATTAAGTCATTATTTTGTTTTCACTAAATATGGCCGGTATGCAATCATTCCTTCTAAAATGCTCGATTAGATGCTGGTCGCTTTGTTTGTTTGACGTTAAAGGAACATTTTGCTTGATAAGACATATCTATCGAACAATAGGGCCTTAATTAAATTTTAAAAAATTGTACTAGGTAATACAATCGTGCGTAGAAAAAAGTTAAACAAGTTCTTATTTCAGTCACTCAGCCGCGTGTTCAACCGTTACTTTAGCTGTAAGTCTAATCTAAACATCAAAATTATATTCCGCGGGGAGAGAAAAGTATGCTGTATCAAAGTAGATAACGGATTTCTCCAGATGGCATATCCTTCTCGAAAGAACTAGTACAATAATATTTTAAACGCCAGACGCCCTACAAGAGTTATAAAAATGTGAAAGGAACTTTGTTTAATTGCAAATCACGTCGTTACTCTTAAAACAATAAAAATTCCCTTAAGGCTTTGCAAAACTATTGCACAATGACTCTGCTACAGTTGGAAACTTTAGGTTTACTTTCTGAAGATTTGGAAAAGCATATTGTTGTTTGTACAAGAGAGGAAATGCTAGTACTCCAGTGCCACCATAGCGTGGATACTACTTTACAAGCTACCTGTCAAAAATCAGAATCATATTTAAAATACGTCGCCTGTATTGAAAAATTAAAATCGGGTTAACTAACAAAATGTACGCAGCAAATATTGCCTAATGTCGAGTAGAATTGTCTCAAGACTGTCTTTTAAACTCTCAAGACACACTGGCAGTAGAAATTCAAATGCCCATGAAGTAAATACCGTGGTCTTTCTGCCTAGAAAAATCTTCTTAATTTGCTGGGTTTGCGCACCTACATTCGAACCAACGTAATTTCCTTGGTTATTTATGATTTTCTAACTGTTCCCAGTTTGATTAAGTCGCCGACACGTTGGTCATTTGTCAGGGTGTAGTGTTGAACCTGCTCCTCTTTTGCGTTCAACGAATGGAACCAACGTCACCGCATCATTCTTTTGTATGCAGAAGTTTCTGACAACAGTAACCTGACGCACATAGAAGACCCACGTATAATCAGCGCGTGAGACGTGATTCCGATAATTCTGAACTGGATGACTATCGTCTTCCTCGACCGGTGCATCTTCACCTAAAAAGCGTTTACGATTGTACTTTGCCCCCCTAAAAATCTGGTTTCATTGATTTGCCTTTGTTTTTCCGGTATTCACAGCGACAGATGCCATTTCGGCTGCGATTTTCTGGTAAAAACTAGACCAGCCAGCCATTTTAATAGAGAATATATCAGTGAGCTTTAGCAGCTCTCCCGGTGGCATTCAGTTGCTCCCAAGATAAACTAGCTTTAAAATTTTATAGAGCCTCAAATTACAGTAAAGTCGTCCGTTCAAACCAAAATAGTAGAGGAAATACTTCCTCTTTCTTGCTAATTAAACACACTCATGAAAGTAAATTTCCGCTTCGTAGAGACCATGTCGTAGGCAGTATCGTGGCATTGCAGTCTTACTACCTATTACTCCAGTATAAAACTCTCGTAGCTAAACTATGAAGAAATGCCGAGGTAGGGGCAAACATACAAGTAGGGATCACGCTATAGTAGTGTTAGTACATCTAACTAAAAACCAGATTTTACGTGCAACCTAAAATGTAGTCAAATCTGAAGGAAACTATGGAATCATCTATAGGGACAGGCGTGTAATAAATAAGGAAAAATTTTTATTACCGTCGTTGGTTCGCAAAATGAGGCCACCACACCAAGTGCTAACCTAAGTAAATCTTACTAATTTTGATGAATATTTAAGTGATCCTTTCGGCACAACTGGACATCAACAGACAGTGTTGGAGTCATAAAAATATAACTGAGCTGTAAATTACCGGACGATGGTTGAGTGCAATAGCTCGGCAGAACGAGGATTCCGCTGGTTAGTACCAATCGAAAGTGACATTTTCTCACTTCCTTTCGCAACAATTATGTTGGGTGACAGCAAGTCAGTCCTTATCGATGGATAGGAGCAACCGCGGTGTCACAATGCCGTCATGGCTGAAAATAGTTTTATATGTAGCTAAGTTGCCAGATTGTTACATAGTCACGTATAAAGGAAGTATCGCCTCAAGACCTACAACTGTTTAACTGCGTAGCCAGCCATTGTTAAAGGCCGTTTATCTATCCGCAACCTGCGGACGTGCCATGCATATCCTTCTCGAAAGAACCCCTACAATAATATTCTAAAGGCAAGACGCCTTGCAAGCGTCATACTAAGGACAAGAGGGACTTTGTGCAATTGCATATTACGTCGTTGCTCTTAACACAATGAAAACTCCCGTAAGGCTGGCCCGTAATCTAGGGTTTTTTGTAGTGAAGTTTACGTTGTTGTAAATGTTTGCGAGTTTTTTTTCCTAGAAGGACTGCGTGCATAGTAAAGGGGGTCCTTTAGTCAGAGGAGTAATAAACGAGTCTAAGTCATAACATTGCTTTGTTTTCACAAACCGTTTTACACATTTACCCTTTTCTCATCATGCAGTTTGCTAGACCTTCGAGGTTTCTAAATAAATATTAAGGTAACAATGTGGCACTGAAGTTAGAGTAGGTATTCGAGTCGTTGAAGACAAAAAGCGATGGTTGATCCAATATCAGAAAAGGCTCAGTTATTGTCCTAACATGCGTTACCGTCTACGGTATACTAGGGAGATATGCCATACCTAGGTTCAGAAAACCTCGATGACACCTTGGTCATTTGGCCTTAAGATAAACGCTCTCCATCTGATCTGCGACTGAGCAGTCCTGTCGGTTGCAGTCGCAAACAATAACTATCGTGGGAGTGTTGTTTAGGGATTGATTTACGAAACATGCTCGCTCCATTGCGTTTTGGGTCTCAATATAAAGCCCTCGCAGACAGTCACACACAAATATATACACAGGACACTTTCTTGTATTCAGGGATACCATGACTATTTTATCAACTACAAACACTGCACGGTTGATCTGTTGAATTCGGGCCAATCATTAGCATACATATCCGGTCAAAGAAAGACAAGTCCCATGGATGTGTAAGAAGTCAAATTGTCAAGGTTCAAACGGGAATATTAAGCGTTATTTTTGGTTATGGAGAGTTTAAAAAATGAATGACATCAAAAATGCAGAATTAATGTCTCACCTGTAGCATATCAGAGCTTTTTCGTATAGCATTGCTTACGAAGTCACATTATTTGTTAATGCATTAACTTTCTGCCAGCGTTTTTGATGCATAATATCATTTGTCGCCTGTAGTAAGGCTTGTTATTTAACTCAAGAAAAATGGGTGAAAACTACTCCCTGGTCGATTTGCGCGGGCAAAAAGTTAGCCACATAGTGTACGCTTTCTTTTATGAAGTTGATGCTTTCACATCATATAAAGGTCCTTCTTACACATGTGATTAATCAATCCTTACTATGAATTCGCATTAAACTTCATCAATATTTGCATCATTTTTATATCTGATTTTAGATATTTAGGCTGCCGAACAAAGTCTGCCTCATACGCAATCATCAGCTTACGGTTATTGAGAAACAAGGATTGGGCAAAATGCAAATGAGTAAGATTGGTAAGAGAATTTCTGAACGTGGGAGGTCAGTCTCCAGATGTTCCTTGGACGGCTCTGACAAAACTTAATTTTGCCAATCTTCTGGTTGGTTGGACACCCCAGAAAAATATACTCCATCTTTTGGATGTGAATATGGCAGAGGTATCGCATTTTTAGCGAAATTACCTACATTTATTGCTAACTTCACTCATTCTACATACTACACCATTCATATTGATTAGTATATCAGTTGAACCTTCTGACATATGTATTGTTTTATAAATCGGAGGTGTCTCTATACAAATGAGTCTCCCGTATCCATCAGTCAGCCTAGGCGTATGCTCGTTTTAAACAAATATAATTAGGCCTGCGCACTTGTTGAATACGATTCTTAGCCTACACTTTTGCCAGCCAAGCGCTAGCCTGGACTACCTCAAGGGGCAAGTCTGCGGACATCAGATCCGATCCCCTCACAACTCCTATTTGTTTGGTGAAGACCACGAGACCAGCAGAGGGAGCACAAATGGTGTCCTTTGGTCTACCCCTCAAAAACGGAATTCCGTCATCAGGCTGGATAATTATTCAGTTGAATCACTCCTAGGGAATAATCCTTAGTGCAATGTCAATTGCTGTCTGCCTTCCGATTTAACTTACTCGCTCGTATAGTTTGGTGGTTTTTTTTTTACATTTTCGAGCTGACGCACTGGGAGCTCTGTCCGGAAAGCAGACTCCTCAGTGTTATTTCCAACAACGAACGACGGGAATTTTACACCCTTGAACTGTGCCAACGCGAAGTGCTGCTGAGGACATGGGAACTGCAAGTCATGCCCTGGGGAGTCAAGGCGACAGCAGTCCATGTTGCCTGGCCTCTGGACGCGACTGGACGACTGACATCCCAGGACGGAATCACTGACCTTTGGTGTCTGCTGGGTTTCACGCCGGAGGGAGCCCTTGCTCAGTCGCGCACTAGCCTGGCCTCACACTGCAGCGGTTCGGCGGCGCTGATCGTCAGCTGGGGTGAAGGCGCCTGGAAGCTGCCCCTTCAGTCTCACAGTGCATCCTGTTATGGTGGGCGAGATTTACACACGACGGACATCACGGCAGTGTTATTCTACAAACCATCGGCTACAGTAATTACCGCTGACTCCATCGGAGCCATAAAGGTAATGAACCTTCTGGTCTACTCATCTGAGTCATTGTTTAAAAGCCTACTTACGTCTGCTCGGTTGGATTTTTCGGAATGCGACAATGTTAGCGAATAGCGAATTGTTCCTCCTCTGCAAGATTTGCAGAAGTTATGATTGCTTCGAAGCTGGCAAGGAAGTCCAACTGCCTGGAATGGAGCGGATTATACCTCATTCCTTTAGTCTGCATATCCACGTATTTGGGACCCTATGCGAGGTCGTCACTCGTGTCTCAAAGTCTGAGCGATTTAAAAAGAGGGGCATTTTAAATAAAAAATAAATGAACATTCCGTGGCAGAGTTGCAACACAAACAAAAAAACAAAACAAAGTTGTAACACGAACAAACAAGCAAAACATACAAAATTACGAATCTACCCATAGATTTCTAACGGCGACCGAAGAGAAGGTGCAACTTGTCATTCATTGTCCTTGCTAGTCAAGTATTTAGCTAATCAGGAATGGGTGTATACTGATATATTAGAATCACCAATTGATGAGGCACTGATGATTTTCGGTTCGAAGATGCGCTTATGGCTCATCTGCACTCTGCACGAGCGAATGTTGTCGTTTCTGGTCCCGGCTATTGGCTATGGTTATGACTGGCCGAAAGAAGGCAAGATATACCCGAAACAGTATTGTAGCAATTTACCCGCATTCTCTGTCTTTCCACCCCTCCGCTATTATGACTTATCCGAATTCGGCAGGGTAGTTGATTGCCGGTTCATGACATTTGCCACCCGCAGTGGGCTTGTTTGCCCCAGGATGTCAATAGGTTAGTGTGCGCGCATTACGGACTGGATATATATGCATGTGTATGCGCATACATAGATATTGGAAGGGTCTGCTAGCCCCGTTGTGTTTTGGGGCTCGATCTAGAACCCGGCAGGGAGTCGCATAGCAACTGGTAATATATCACGAACGAGCTTACCGACAGAGACAAGCTATACGGAAATTACAATTTCTGGCATTTAGCCTTCAACAGCCACCCATGCAGGACCCCAGATTTGATGCTCCTGGGACTAGAACCCAGTATTTTGTCACTGTGTCGAGCGTTCTACTATTAAAGCTATCGGCTCGTTGCCCTGTCCGTTGCGATCGGGCATATTAGCTTAGTAGTAACTAAGTAGTAACTGGGAAACAATACTGCAAATATGTAGGTAGTATTCCCCATTTCAAACTGGGGCTGAATATGGTTGGCTGATGACGGCTAATACGCCAAAAGTGGTCATTTCAGTCCCTTTCACTTTGGCGGCAATCTTTTTCTGCATATATATATATATACATACTACGCGCCGCTGTGCGGTTACTAGCGGGTCCGGAGAGAGATCCCAAAGCACAACGGGACGTTTGAGTTCCTTAGCGCGATCGTTGTACGCTCCTCTACAAGTTTTTATATGCCCGACCGCAGCCGACAGGAAAACGAGCCCGTGGTTTAGTGGTTAGAGCGTTGGAATTCTGACAAACAAACCATGAGTTCGAACCTCGGGGGTTTCATACTCCGGGGCCGGCCATGACTGTCTGATGACGGCCAACAAACCAGAAATGACCATTCCAGTTTCCCTTGCCCTCGCCGATAATGTTATTCACTCAAGAATGGGCGCACACCAATCCATTGGCTTTCCGAAGCAAAAAAGGTTCGTATGAGTGATAGGGATCACGAACAGGCAACAACCTACCTGTCCGAAGTCGGTCAGTCTATGACAACAGAGACGACAAAGTCTGGGGGGACTTGTTTGTCTTCATCCAGCCAACCATAACCATGATCACCAGCTGGGACCGGAAGCACAAACATGTACTCACACACCTGATGCAGCTGGTCCATCACTAGGGTCAAACAGATGGGCTATAGGTTCTTCATCGGACCAAAGTTCATCAGTGCCTCGCCACCTGCCATATATACATATATGGTGCTAGAGGAGTGCTCACTGATCGTGTTACGGAACTCACTCGTCCTGTTGTGCCTTAGGGCTCTCTCTCTCGAGCCCACCCAACAGTCGCAGATCGGCGCATAATACAGGCGGTGGTTAGAAAGCCCGTGAGGCCTCCAGGTGCCCGCACCACGTAAAAACCGAACGCATAGCTTCCGTCCTGCAGTCGGGAGAGATCAGTGGGCACAACTTCCAAGTGAAACTCAACATCCTCAAAGGCAGCAGACTGTGTGGACACTCAGCTCTGTTGGTGGAGTTAAGCTCAGTGGTCAGCTGAGCACCGGTTTAGCTCTCAAGTCTTTTTAGACTGAGATTTTGCGTCGGCTAGCGGACGGCGACAAACAAATCGGATGTAGTCAGGAAAAGGCTGCTAGCATTTTTCTTGCTTCTCCTCGACTGCTGACTGGTCACCTCTCTCCCACTCCTCTAAAAATTATTGAGACCGAATTGCTGAGGCAAAAGAGAACGTCAGACCGTTGTCTTTCATTCAGGCCGGACCGTCAAATACCACTCCCATGTGACCTCACACAGTCGTCTAGCAAGTCTTATTCTGCGGGTTTGAGATTGTGGCGCCTGATGCTTCACTCCTGAGTGCCAGTCTCTGTCAAAAAGCACATCTGCCTTTATTATGAATCAGGTCAGAATGGCAGCTAAACTGTTCTGTTAATGTGAAATGCACCTACTGATTAACTGTAGCCAACCTTTGTGAAGGCATTACTGAATGCTCCAATAACTTCTTATACTGCCGCTATTTATCTTCTAAGCCGACAAAACTGCTAAAAATATTGTTATTATTCTTCTTCTGGACTCGAACAAATTTTAGGAGTACCGGAAATAATGTAATCTTGTGGACTTGATTTGAATGTTATTTATCAAACGTTTATATCTGCTCCATTTAAACTATGCGTGTTTGTAGGTCGGTTAGGCCTTGTTTTTTAGATTTGCATATACGTTTTGTTTCTTAGATTAAATCTAAAAAAATGAGAGACATGGAGTCATTGTTCGGCATTGTATGCTGTGCGAATTTCGCAAGCGAAACAATGCAACAACAGACACCAACACAATTCGTGGTGTTAATCCTAATGCTTTAGATTTCCACGGATGCCAGCATTGGTTTGCGAAATCCTAATTAGATGGTTTAGACAATGATCTTCGCGTTCATCGTTGAGGCAGATCCCTGTCAGATAAATGAGGAATTATTAGAAGAACAATATTTCTCATGGTCTACTGTTCAGGGAGTTTAGTGGATAAGAGGCTTGAGACCAAGGCCGATCTTTGATAAAAAAAAAAACAAGGTCTAACGTTCCAAAACCTGCAGTTTTTTTGTTAAGTAGGCAGTGGAGGGAACTAATTCTACATCGAATTGCCGGTGGGGATGAGAAATGGACTTTACTTTAATGACAACCTCAAACGTCAATGACTTTCCACAGGTTAGACACTAGTCCCTACACCAAAATTAGGCCCATGACTCCAGAAAATCTTGCTTTGTTTTTGGTGGAGTATGGGAGGCATACTTCGCCTTGGGCTACTAGAACAAGGTCAGACCGTAACTACAAACATCTCCTGTCACCATTTAGAACGTCTGAACCAAGCACTTGCCTTTAATGATCCAACGCTAATTAATATAAAAGATGTAATTATACTGCATTTTCAAGTCAACCACATTCGGTCCGACAGACAGTGAACAACACAGAGGATTTATGATTGCATTTTTTACCCCATCCACCCTACTTAATTGATTTAGCCAGGCGGTCAGTCTTTTCTCAGATCTCTGCAGCGCGTCCGGGAAGAAAAACTTCCAAATGTCGGTGATGCCAAACTGGGCTCTTGGAATTGTTTGCAACAAAAAAATTACCTTTCAAAGAGAGGGTTTTGGGAACTTGCTTTCAAGATGGACAACAGCGGTCGATAACAATGGCAATTATATAACTCAATAAAATTTTTTTGCGGTAAACAGTTCATGTACCGTCTGTCTAAAAAACATCGTTTTCCAGTATCCTCAAAAAGTAGTGTAATGATCTGAAGCTGTGAATTTGCATAAAAGCAGGGAGGATTCCGATGCGTTCATGGTCATGGTAATTGGTAGGTTTGTACCAAGACATTATGTGCCCAAAGGATCCTTATCAGTCATAGCCGCACATTAATAAAAAATATCTAAAACAGATAATAACGGCATACCGGAGGACGATGTCCATTGGGCTTCACTTCGACAGCCCTTTTGACGAGAGTGCTACTAGCTCCAAAAGCATTCAGTTAAATGTGTTAGGTGGGCCTTCTTAAACGTATCCCAGAAGTACTATCGCCTATAAATGCGAACTTAAAGCCTGTTTATATGCTCCAGACATGGACAAGCGAGTTCCAAGCTCTGGGTTGCTTTGAACTTCCCTTGTACGCCTCACCCATCGCCGCTATCTGGCCACACCCCTTGAGCATTGTCAAGGGGGAACACGCAACACCACCGCCCTGGAACACCTTCCTTCCAGCCAGTGTAGTTACCGCCTCTACGGACGGACTTCTGCAGAGTTGGTTGCTTCCACCCAGAGGAGATTTTACGCCTGAGAATCAGACTCCAACAAAGTTGAGTGCGAGACAACTTCCCCGTTTCCGTGTGCCTCCCCTAAATCGTGACCCACACTACATATACGAGGTTGGCGATGATACAGATGACATTTTAGCGGTCTCGTGTGCGCCTTCGGGTTCAAGGATCTACAGGATACGGACTGAACAGGTAACTGCGGAAAGTATACGGCTTGAGGTTTTGAAGCCCTGAATGCAAGTATAACAGCAGGTCGGGTTCAAAATTATTCGGGAATTAGAAAAGATTTTTAAAACCGAACTATGCTCTTCTTTCAAGCATAAAATTGAAAGAGGACGTGATTTTCTGCCAAATAAATAAAAGAATGAATATTTTTATGCAGTTTCTCCATGGAATATAATTGAAAGTTTAAGGGCATCAAAAGTCTTGGAGAAAATTGCATGCTATATAAGCAGTCATTTTTTGCAGAGTTTAGTTCTTGCATGCTGTCGAAAATAAGTTTATTCGACTGCCGACACCCTGAGGTAACTGGAGAATTATAGAATTATGCTGCACGATGATTATTTTTACAACTCTACTTAATTAATCTCTTCGAAGCGAGAATGAATTTCGAAATTTAGGCCGCCATTTCATGAGTTAGCCCACCTACTGCACATAATTAGTCCTTTTTTGCAGAGTATGGAGTATGCAGACTGCTGATGAAAACTCATTCAGGTGACGGCATGCTGGTGTGACTGAAATATCTTAGAATTATGCTGCATGACAATTAGTATTACAGACCTACCTAAGTAATATTTTCCAATCGAGAACATATTTTATAATTTCGGTTAAAATTTCACGAGATAGCCCATCTACTGTAGTTTCCGGTCGTCTGACGTAGCATGGGCCATCATCACTCGACACCGTCGTGGAGTTGAAAATTGATGATTAATGCGGGGGGTGGGAGGAGGGGATGCCCACCTTCATTTTCAAAAGGCAAAGTGAATAACCATTCCGCTGAACTGTCCCACGTTCTCTCTGTCCTGCCGGTCACGACCCAATCAGATTTGGAACACTGCGGTTTATGCGTTCTGGCCGCGTTAGTTAAAAGCCTGTGGGGCCGAGAGCGCCGTTTTCGTGCCCATCAGTAACTTCAACCCTGACTACTGCTAAGCGTCTAGGTAGCTTCTCGCTGAATAGCAATCAAAAATTCTCCGCTTTCAATCGACGTGGATTATTCAAGCACTCGAGGACATCCTACTTTGCCCTTATTAACCTTCTCTTCTACTGACAGGCAGCGGGCTGGTACCCTCGCGGAGAGGTGACGACCTCGTTCGAGACTGACCATCTCTGTATGATTTTGCCTCCACAGCAGAGGTTTGTTCAATTTGCGGAAAATGCAAAAATAAAAGCTCGGTATTTTGCTTGCTCCACTTAGCTTATTTTGAAAAATTAAACCTGGGTTTGCAAGAAGGCTTTTGCGGAATATAAACGCTAGTTCCCACCCCCTTGAAAAATCCACTTAGATTTTGACGCTTCAAGAACACACACTGGCTTACGGGATGTTTATAAGCCCATGAAAAATTTTACTTATCGCTCTCTAAAAAAGGAAAGTTGGATCGCTAATGTTTGTGATAGCAGCAAATAATTTCCATGATGATAGTATCCTAATTAATATTATGTCATTTGTTAGATCTCAATGCGGACTCCTACCACCCAACTTCCTCACTATAAGAGACAATACTTAAGGAGCTCGCATTCGATTGCGCGGGAGGAGAGTTTATAGACTCGCTACTTTTGCCGAAAAAGCCAGAAATGACCACTTCTGTCGCCCTTGTCTTTTAAGTAGCACATTTTAAAGTCCATTTCTTCTGTTGTGAAAGCAGGACGCGCATGGCCTGCGAGATAAGGGTATAAAATTCTAGAACGAAGTCAATATCCTCTTATCGAGCTCAGATTAACAAAAGGCAATCTGGCCTACCGTCGGTTAGAAGACAATGGAACTGGTTAAATTGTACGCATTTAATGAAGATAATCGTCGAATGCGCTTGGTGACAGGCTTATAGAGGAGACTCTGATTCGTGTCTGTTGATCAACCAGTGCTTGTGTGGCCTACGGGAGGCGACTTGAAACGCCGGATCAGTCGCTGTTTGCGATCTAGCCCCCGCTTCCTTTGATCCAGTATTGACAGTATCTCACAGTAGAGAGGGAGAGAAGGATGGGGTGGATAATGTGAAGCACTCGTTTAGGGTACTGAATTTGAGAGGCGAAGGCGTAGCAACACTCGTGGTTTGTACGGTCGTTAATTAACGAACTACCCAGGTCCGTGGAGCCAGGGGCCAGACTTGATCGCTTTTGATTAAGGTGGCCTTACCATCGAAGCGCATGGATATGGTGTTCGAGGCAATGGAATTGCAGTTTGGAATGACTTAGTGACCAGCGCGTGCGTAACACGCGTATTCGGGAACCGAATGCTCTGCTGCGCGGGAGGTACCTATCCGCGTGCCCACCCGGGCCAAGGAGCAGTCTGCGACAGGTCCTGCTTACCGCGTCTTTAACAGCGAGGCGTATGGATACGGTACTCGAACTTATGAAGTATTGTTTGGGATGCTAGAGGGAGCGGTGCATTTGTGACACGCATGGTCGACGACTGGGTGTTCTGCCAGTCTCCGCGTCCGCGCTCATCTCAGGGAATTTCAAATTTGCCTTACCATTGGACCACCGTGGGTGTGGGGAGGGCAGGGGTGAGTTTTCTGCAGCGCCAATGCTCCTCACTCACGAGAGCCCAATCGAGAAATAGGACACACTGCTCTCCTGACGATCTGGCATTAGATGATAGGTTTTCCGGAGGAACTGTCAGGGGTTCAGAGCTACCTGGCATACATATCTTCCGAAACTTTGCGTATTTCCTTTCACCTCACTCCAAATAAACATCAAGGGAGTACAGCAAGTTAGAACAAGTCTGTATACCGCCAAAATCTAGAAAAAGGCATAGAAAATACATTCAACTAGTTACTTACGCACAATATTTGCGTAGGCCTTTCCAAAAGTAACAAATTCGTACTTTAAGGCTCAAAAGTATTTACTTTTGTGGAGTACATGATACTATAAAGACATTACTTCTTCAAAATGAATTGTGAATTGGAACTCCTTGTCAATTCTATTCAAGAAATGTCGTCAATTTAGTATTAGCATTGAAGCTCTAGAAGACCTGCGGCCAATCCCACTAACAACTGGTTAACAGGCTCGAATGATCAACAAGCGCCAGGGTTATAGAAGAGAGCGTGAGATCGCCTCACAGCACAAAAAGGCATTCCTCCCCACAATAAATCTGACGCACTTGAACCTGCAACGATGCGCTAATTGTCGTTGCTTTGAAGGCTGTCTGCCTTTGGAATAACTCGGTTCTCTTGGAATTATTTAAGAGTAACCGAAGGACTGACGGTCGGGCCGCGTTGGCTCTTGAACTCGCCCTTAATGGCGCTGTGGCGCGTGTGAGATCTGAGTCGTCCTCACAGAAGTCTGGGGATCGTGTGCTGTATCACGCGTGAAAGAGCTGTGGGGCTTTGTCAGCCACTGTTCACAAGCCCACCTGCGGTTTCATTGGCATTATATTGCCATCGACGAAAAATGGATGAGACAAGAGATAGTGCGATGGATGCTGCGCAAGTCTACTTCACTGGAAATTAATTTATGCGCATGCCACTGGTGCTGCGCCTAGTCCCTTGGGCACACGTGTCTAATGCTTTGATAGACCGTGGAGTCAAATCGCATGAGGCCCTGTCTGCATGAATTTAGCTTATCTCACTTGATGCGAATACAATCGGCCCAGCAAGGCCAATTTAAAAAAGGTAATTGGTTTGCGACGGGCTGTTAAACCGGAAATGTTTTTTTACTACCAAAACGACATGGTTAATGGAGGCAGTTTTGCAAATGGAGGTCATAATATTATGAATTGGGTAGTTCTTTATTCATTTCGGAGCTCATGCCTGAGTAATTATGCCCTTTATCATCGTTTGATAAACATGGAAACGTCTCAAATTACCCACATCCGTCAGTCCCCCTTTGCACTTTCCCATACGAATTAACATTTCAAGATTTCTTCCTTTGAGGTAACACACATAAAAAGATATTTCAGAATTCTGAGTGAAGCATTTATTCTGCATTTCAGAACTACACACCAGTATCGCACCTTCCGGGCAGAATACAGTCGCTGGAAGTGGTCTCCGTTCCCGCAGAATACCTCAGTGGCCATTTCGGTCTGGAGGTGGGAAATTCCGAGGTTGTGCCGATTGCCCTGGCTGTCTGCCAGGGTCATCAAAGCAGTGTTCACATGTGTCTTGCCTATTCTGGAACGCCCTTCTGTTGTGCATTATCCAAACAAGCCATTCGCCAAGCCCTATGGGAATGGAGAAATGACCGTCTGTTTGTGCTGCACGAGGTGAGAATCGAGAACTGGCTGACTGAGTGGGAGCAGTCATGTTATTATGACTAATATGTCGATCCTAGAATGAGCTTTAGCTAGAGACTTAAAAACTATTTATAGTCGTAAAGGGACTGCTTATTCCGTCGGTTTCTGAAGACTTATCCGATAATCTAAAAACCACAAAATTTTGTAAAGTGTCGCTTTTTAATTTCCTCAGAAATTATCTACGAAGTTGAGGTATATCGGCTTATTCAAGATCTATAGGCTCAAACGGAGAATTTTATGTATGAATATTTGGGCCAAAGTCCATCAGCCACAGCGCGTAACCGCGTAATATTCCTTAATTGTCGACAGGCAACTAGTAATTTACAGTAGATAGGCTAACTCATGAAATTTCAACCAAAATTCCGAAATGCCTCTTAGTTTCGAAAAGATTAAGTAGCGTTGTAAAACTGGTCAGCCTGCGACATAATTCTGTAATATTTCTGTTACCTCAGAATGTCAGCTTTCGAACGAACTTCCGTTCGGCTGTATGCAAAAGCTACGCTCTGTAAAAAGTGACTACTTATGTAGCATGACTGTTTCTCACTGATTTTCGTTTCCCCTAAACGTCCAATTATATTTCATAAAAAAAATGCATAAAATTATCAATTCTTTCGCCCATTTGGTAGACAATTACGCCTTCTTCCTATTTTATACTCGAGGGAAGGCTATAGTTCAGTTTTCAAAAACTTCTTCATTTCCCGAATAATTTTGAACCCGCTCTACCGTTACACTTGAATTCAGGGTTTCCAAACTACAAGCCGTATATTTTCCGCGTACGGAGAACGACATGTTTCTCTACGGCAGTAAGGGGGACCAAATATAGGGTTCATAAAATTAGGCAATAGATTTGATCCATATTGTTAACTTTACAAGCCACATCGGTAAATGCAGAGACATGGCGATTTATGCACGGCCATTTTACGGTAGTTAAAAGTCCCACAATTGGAAACCTTTTTAAAACCGAATGATATCCCTCCCTCGAGTATAAAACAGGAAGAAGACATAATTGTCTTCCAAATAAGCAAAAGAATGGATATCTTTATGCATGTTTTCCATGGAATATAATCGGACCTTTAAGGGCATGGAAAATCGGCGAGAAAAATTCATGCCACTTAAGTAGTCATTTTTTACAGAGTGTGGTTTTATGTGCAGCCGGAAAGAGGTTCATTCGAAAGCCGACATCCTGATGTAACTGAAATATTATAGAATTATGCTGCAGGCTGACGAGTCTTCCAACCCTACTTAATTAATCTTTTCGAAACGAAGAGGCATTTCGGAATTTCGGTTGGTACTTCATGAGTTAGCCCGCCTACTGTACTTTAGGTGAAGGTGATACTATAATAACAGGACAGGTACTAGGCTTTTGGCCTAATTTGTGCCGACAAATCATACGTGTACCGAGGTCTACGCGAACCAAAACAGTGGACACCAAATATATGCATGTGGAAGTTTATTGAACATGTAAAAGAAAAATGGGGTAGAGAAGTATTTACAGGCGGCATATGGACACACATCTGAATTGGTCAGTCAATTAATTGGCATTGTTACGCTGACAGACATTGGCATTCACGGCAGGCTCCTGTAAGAAAAAAACTCAGCTACAATAATGATTCAGTAATTCTTTTCATTATCACTATTAGTAATATTTTTGTTTTAGTAAACGCCATGCGTGGCGTATCATTTAATTTGCTGCCACACATGTGGCAACTCCTTAATAAAACTTCAGCCTGCATTTGTATAGAGGATCAAAGTAGATTCCCATTACTACCAGTTAACTAACCTAGGTTTAACGTGGTCCGGCACCCTTATGTGGGAGACTGATGTCTTGGACGCCAAAGCCCGATTCCACATAGCGATCATTGTAGTACTGGTTCGTCACTATTTACAATTCCAAGGGTTTATAGAAGAGGCAGTGGTAAGCGGTCGTTTTGGCTAGCTCTCAACCAGCCAACACGTAGACTTAAAAAGCCAATATATAGTCACATAAAAACATGTGTTTCACTGCAATAACAGGATGTGCTTTGACAAATGTCGATAATTCACTTGACCCAATTCCGAAAAACTCGGCAGCCTTGGTGGGATCGAACCCACGACAAGAACGGCAGGACTTAAGTACGACCAACCTTCAAACACCATAGCTACGACGGGTAGACTTAAGGGGACCCTTTGCTCTCAGAACTCTGGAACGATTTACAAATGGGAATGCTTGTTCCGAGGAAATGGAGTTTCAGGAAGAGTATGGCTATGATACTGTACTTATCTCTGCTCTGCGCCTTTCATGCCTGATTGTTCTGTACCACCCTATTTTCTTAGACATTTCTCGAATGCCCGTTTTTCTAGGACGGCTCTCTTGTGGCCTTCTCAACACGGTGTTCCCCATGCCAATCTCTGATTACTGTGACGTCTGATGTCAGGCTGTTTTCATCACCATCTGGCGGTTTGACTCAAACCTCCGCAGGCTTGCCGGTTATCCTAATTCATGCAACATCAAACAAGAAGTCGAGGGTTTCCGGCAGTAGCCTCGTAGTATGTAGGACGGATGGTAGTCTCGTTCACATCTGCACGGAGGGCGGAGGTGTCCTGACAGTCGCAGTTGGTCAAGCGGACACCAGTTTTCAAGAGACACGGCAACCGGGTAGGCCCCAATGTACCAAAAATAAACATACAAGCTGCTCTACTTAGTCTTATAAAGTAGCGTCAGTCATGTGGCTCGTATGTATTTTAGATTTGGAATATACTGGTGTGCATGCTGATCGCCAGATTGCACCTAACTCGACAGTCTGTCTTGGGAAGTTTTTTGAAAAGGAGGAATACTTGTCCGCCGACACCACTGGTGCAATCAGATTCTGGGTCGCTTCTCAGGACGGTATCCGTAGCGTCCGACGGCAAACCTACGTTCCCAGTTTGCGGCCAGTAAGCAACCGAAAAGTTCTGCGTCCTCGGATGCTCACTTCAAAGGGCATTACTCAGCCAACCTTTGTCTCGCATCTTGCAGCGTCTGGACGTTATATTATGGTCGTGGGAGCCAAGGAAGGAGACGATATTTTCCCCGTCATCATATGCGATACTCTTGACGGAAGCCAACTTGATCACCCTCCATCAGAAGGTGAAACATGCATCATTTTGGTTAGCAGGGAAGTAGCGATCCCCTCATTATCTTTCTCATACAAAACAGTTCTTGCTGCTCTTCTGACTACCAATAGAGTTAGAAATAGTGTTTTTGACAGCCCTTTTTCTGGATGTTTTGCGTAACTCTTGCTGGGCGTTTCGTTTCTCATAAAACTATTCATTACAGCTGGTATGACTTACTGCCGATGACTTAAATTTGTGGACTTTGTGTATATAGTTCTTAAAAGTGACTGGACGCGGAGTAGCGGGCCAACGATAGGAGAAAACACAAATAATAAGTGGATTTCACTTTGAAGAAATAGGGTAAAAGCCGAACGTCGACTAAAAAGAGATTGTGTTTGAACGGTTATAAGTGACAATTTCTGCCAACTCCATCATGCTACTGCCGCCTCTCATGTGTCAGGCCTGAAGTTTGAATCCCGACCACAAGAAGGACGTGCGCAACCGGCGAAGCAGGGATCTATTGCGCCCAATGGACTGGGGCAGACCGGAACAGTTTTTTTATTCACACGTATATAATTGACCAGGTGTGATGCATATTTAGGAAAATAAACAAATGCCACACACGATGAAGACCAAATACTTGGCCTCGACTTCTGTTGCCAAAACGCGCCTGCTTATTTGATTTAAGTAGGCATGTCGTGTTAGAGTTACATTTACAGTGATGAGCAAGGTTAGCGTTAGGGCTAAAGTTATATCTTGCATGCCGTCTTATCCGGCCCGTCTTTCATCCGTTCACGAGCTCTTAGGTATCATCTTTCAAATTGCGCTGTCTATCCCGACGCCTTGTTGGAGTACTCAAACGTATGGAAGAAATGCGAGTCTCCTTAGTGCCTTCCACGGAATTTTTAATTACTACTTCTGTCTGTCACACGCATTAAACCTCTAGTGACATCCTTCTTGTATTGCAGAAGTCTCTGTGCTCCATGATTTCGGCGAGACTGCATATTCACCTCTTGACCCGCAAACTACTCACTTAAATGCACGAAATGGGTCGCTTTAAGAGCAAAATAAATTATAAAACCGAAATTGTATGCATTTGTTACTCACCAATCGATAAATTTATCCTCCTTTTTGATTACGATGTCAAGTCTTATTGAAAAATTGAAGCAAACCATTACGATGTGAGCGGCAAGCATTCTATCCCACACCTTGGACACGAAAAGTCTCGGAAGTCCGAGAGGAAGGCTCTAGGGCTCAGAGGTACTAGCCTAAATACTAGCCCATATTTTCTATTCCAAGAAGTTTTGGTCCGTGTGACTACATGACCACACCGCCTCCGACCGGGCGTGTGTCACGAAGGGCTCCGTTCGGAAAGGAGATTATTTCTGACAGGTTCAGCAAGTTCTGATGTGTCCAACGAGGAGGACTGGGCTATAATGCCTAATCCAGGGACCATTTGGTCCTCATCTAGAACTATTCAGCCAATAAGATGAACGATGCGTTAAGATCGTTTGAGACCACGAGGTAGAATGTCATCAAGTTGACCTGACTACCGGTTCTGACATTGTCGAGTACAACCTCTCCCCTGTAATGTGTCTGTCAATCCTGCGCTTAAAGAACTGATCGAAGGATAAGTACATTTTGCTCATGAAGGGGGTGACTGCAAGGTTTTCTTCAGATTCTTCAAAATCTGTTTTGCCTAGTTCCAACCCGGGACACAGCGGACGATCTGCAATTGGGACGTTTTTAGTTTTAACTAAAAACCGAACCCAACCTGCCTTTTTACAATGTCCCGGACGGTATGCTTTCCAGCCTTGAGTTCCCTGACCGCTGCTGTATGGACCGAACTCTATTGTATACTCCGATCTGACGTTGACCACGAGTTTGACGTTAGTGATCGGTGGCTTCCTTTCTGACACATCCCAAGCTCCTTAATTCTTTTTTGCATTTAAGTATGTTGTCCAGAAGACCAAAATTTGCTCATTATGTCTGCAAACTGCTTTGGATTATTGTGATCTACCTTCTCCTGGCTTCCGTGCTGCAGAGCAACCTCGAAACATATTTGCCCATAATTATTTTTTTCGCAGTTTCGGTCGTGTTTAAAAGAAAAAACGGAAAGACTGGGCAATAATTGTCAAACCCATGCTGACTTTAAATTAATTCTAACATTATAGGCCTCATAGAACATTTCAACTGAATACGCAGAGTCTGAAGCAAGGAGTGATTTACTGCGCCTAGGGAATCTGGTGTCGTTAATGTCGCCATAAATGCTAGTATGCACTTAGGATTCAAGTCACTGTGACTTTTTCCTCTTAATTTTACGCAGTTTCAGCTTTGCTGAATTGCTTCCTGACCTCGATAACAGAAATATTTTCATTACTGGCAAAATCCGTGCTTTTTAGTCTCCACAGTCATAAAAGCTGAGCATGCGCTTTCCTGGTACAAATGTAGTGGTTATTGCTGGAAGCAGTGCTAGCAGCAGTAGTACTAACCGGATGCCGGACAGCAGTGTTTCAAATGGAAGCTGGTGTTTAGGAGTCCTGACGTTTACCAGGGGGAGGCAGAACTTGACATCTCGTCTATTGTACAAAACAACATTAGGAACAGAACAGTAGCAATGCCTTTCCTCAAGTTCGAACGAATGACTAAGAACGCGTTGTTTCTCTTTAAAGGCGTGATCCTTAACTAAAGGTCCGTGTAAATAACCAAATCCTGCCATCCCTGAACTTGGCCCATGGTTTAATACGGTCTGGCGTACTACAGGACACAGTGGAAATCCGAGTCACTATGACTCAACGAAGTTATCATACGAGCAGAAAATTCTGCGGAAGTGAGTCATCTGCCGCAACTGACATGCCGACTTCATGACCACGAAAGTCCTAAACCATATCAGAGAGTTGATCTTGCATCACTGATAAAGTGCGCTTGCTACCTTATTTCCTGGGGTAGTTGGGGACATTTAAATAATTTTGGACCCGTGAGAGACAACAAGGAATACGATGTGATCTGCGCAACGCCTAATTAGAGGTAGTTAAAGTAAATACCCTAATTGGTGTTTGGGTGAACTGGAGTCCACGTTTCGCTGTGCGTTTCCATCGAAGGCGTTCCCTAGCCAACTACACAAAAGAAGTAACGTAAGTGTGCACGCGCTTGACGTGCGCTGGTGTGGACTCCATTAAAGTCCACGAGTTCGTTGGTTGACTTACTCTCGATGATATCGCGTATTACATACAGGAATGCCAACGCTCCCGTTGGTTCCAACAAGACGTAAGCTTCTGTGGGGATTAATTTTCCTGGACGAAATGCGCCTGCATGAGACTTCAATTATCGTGAGTTCTCAGGGTCACGTTTCATTCATGTCCCAGTGTTCGCACTCGTACAATCCCAATTCACACAAAATTACCACTACTGATGGCCTGGTATTGAATTTTAGGAGGGAGAACTGGCTATAACTGTATCTAGTCATTCTTTTGTTGCAGCTCACGTCAAGCCCATCGTTGACGTGACGAGTGTTCGACTTCGGGCACCGGACAGCGACACTGGTGGAGCACAGATTCTATTCTCTACGATTGCGCCAGGCGATGTCGAAGGGCCCGTTCGGATCTGGACTCCTGAATTCCACGAGTATGTTTGATTTTATATCGGTGTCTATTTATCTACGTGTGCAGTGTTGCCATAACTTTGCAGGTGGCAAGTGCTTTGGGTGGTGGAAAGTTAGACGTACACTAAACAGGCGGCTGGGGATTCGGGAGGGTGCTCACGGCAGATTTCACGTCGACGTAAGTGCTTGAAGGGAAAGGTGCATATGAACTCAACCTTCGCTTCTCGACAGTTCAACCGTCGTTGCCAATGATGTCTTCCGTGTGGTCAACAACAGGGTGAGAGCAAAGACGAATTAATTTGGGGTGGTTGTAAACTTGCGTAGCATCTACCGCACTCTCTCGCCCCCCCCCCTACTTGAATCCGGTGTCGACGGAGTCAAAACGACCGGAAGTGGGAGAGGGCGCAGCTGGCTAGCACGCCGAAAACGCGCACCTAGGCGTACCACGCAACCCTCTGATCCACAGCGGACAATGACCAGGATTTTATACCACAACAAAAATGGGGGTGGTACGGGTCGCAGTTGGCGCGTCGTGAACCAGCAACTGGTCCTGCCGCCACACCCAGAGTTCTGACGTATATTATTGTTGCGCATTTTCAATAACTTTCAACACTGGACGCGGCATCCACTGGATCCCGTGATGGCGTCAAAGGCATCGCTGTTCTAAACTGGTCATCATGGTCCGTTTACAGTTGAATGGAAGGCTGTGAGTTGAAGGACTGACTGTGGTGGTTTGGGTTAGATTGCCTTCTTGCTATTTCCTCCATAGGCAAAGGTTGTGGCTTTGAGGCCATCGACTGCCGTACGTAGGGTGGTTGAGCAATACCGTTTCAAGGGAAGGATCATGGTTTCCTGTTTGAAGTTCACTTCTCTCATACTTCGTTTTCAATCAGGAATATGACGGAGACCAGATCACGGCACATTCCGTTGAGTCATTTGAGCCCGGACGCTGCTGGCATTCATCGGTTTATGAGAGGCGTGTGCACAGTTGGTGTGCTAACTCATGCAATGTTAACCGGGATTCTGAAATGCGTTTTAGACTCGAAAAGATTACTTACGTAGGGTTGCAATATTAATTACCTTGAAGCATAACCCTATGATAATTCAGTTACTTCAAGATGTTGACTTTCTGAGGAACGTCTTTCCGGCAGCCTGCAAAAACTGCGCTCTGCAGAAAATGACTACTAAAGTAGTATGAAATTTTATCATTGATTGTCGATGCCCATATGAATTTAAATATATTTCATAGAAAACATGCATAAAAATATTCATTCCTTTACTCATTCGGTAGAAAATTGCGTCTTCTTCAAACTTTATACCTGAAGGAAGGGTACAATTCGGTTTTAAAAGTTTCTAATTACGAGATTCTTTTGGGACATTGAAATGCCCGTCCATAAAACACCGTGTCTCTACATTTACTAAGGTTGCTTGCAAAGTTTGCAATATGACTCAAATCCACTGCCAAATTTTACGAACCTCACATGATCTTCTTTCAATAACATATAGAAATTCATGATTTTCCTTACACGGAAAATATACAGCCCGTAATTTAGAAACCCTGAATGCAAATGTAAGGGCAGGTCGGATAGGAAATTATTTAGGAATTGAAAAGGTTTTTTAAACCGAATTATACCCTTCCTTCAAGTATAAAGTTTGTTCAAGTGCAATTCTCTCTCCCATCTCAAAAATATTGAGAACTGCCGCTACTGACTAACTCGGCTAATTTCCTGAATACAGAATACACTTATATTATTCTGCAGAAGTCTAGGATGCCAAGGTAACCTCGTCTAGAGACTCACTGTCTATCGAGGTAGGACATGACCCCTAAGTTACTGCTTCGCGTCATCTGCGGAGGTAATTGTGGCTGCTGGGCATAAACCACGAGATTAAACTACAGCGAACATGCATAAGATCCATTCTGTCAAGATTCGAGTTCTCTCAGTCTGACAGGTCGGATAATCCACTTTCCTCTAGTTACTTTAATGATCAGATGACCAGATAATTCTGGTCGCACGCAAACTAACTCGATACAAGGTAGGCACGCCAAGTGCAAACCAATAACCAATAGTTAAAGCGGGAACAGGATAATCTTTATTTTATCCCCATCGTCCTAAAAATGGACGGCGAAATGTGCAATTTACTTTCCTCATCAGAATTTCCAGTGAGAGATACTAACATTGTCTCTCACATAAAATCAAGGACCTACGCATCATCATGTGACTTCCAATTGGCGAGGAGAAAACGATGCTCTGACGTCAGGAGGTTCCGTTAACTTTAACTGATGGTCGACGCTTTCTCGTTGTATTTGTGTGTTAGACGGAGGAATTATTCATTCTTGGCATCAGACAACCTGAGAAGAAGGGATTGCTGACCAAATGGTAGGCGACTGCAACGCCCGAATGGACAGCGTGGCGTCCAGCGCTGATCTGCAGTCTGTGCGGAAGTATCAACAGGCTACCTTGCCGACACTGGTTATCTATCCTTCTTACGGGAAACAATCAGGACACTGCAACAGATATCCGGTGGAAAAACCGCAAGTGCAACTTGATTTTAAAGTCTACAGACGCAATATTCTTAAGCACATGGGCATACTGACCTAAATATTCCCAGAAATGCAAAGTCAAGAACAACTCCTGTAGGACTCCAATGCCGCTAGCGACGTGCACATCGACAGTCGGAACGAAGGCCAGCAGTGTTTACTGATCACTGGCCCATCTCCCTTAGAATTGCTGACACTCTTCTTGGCCGTATAAATTATCCCCTGGCACAATGCTTTCTTCCACAGACACAGTTCAGATCCCAGAGCCATCGTTGCACATCCGATGTGGGCTTCACTGCGAGACAGTTTCAGGAAAAGTTTAGAGAAATTAGGGCTAGCCTCGACATGACGGCATGCTCACCCGCACCATGGGTAATAATTTAACTTCGGCAGCCTGCACATTAATAAATAGGGTGAAACAGGGTTGCGGCCTTGCACCAAATCTCTTGATCTCAAACTGTCTGCCGTACGGAATGCACATCTACGACACGAACACATCCTGGGATGCCACCAGTTAGCGAACCGGTGGTAAGTTGGAAAACACTAATCATACTCAGGCTGTCATGCAAAGTTCCAATTCTCGGGCACTTCACCCTGTCTTCGCTAACGATAACGTATTAAGAACTGTAGTGGAGACGGACATGCCATAAGCTGCGCATATGCTTGCCCGCAGATACACCAAGCTCGGAGTAAACACCATACAGAGAAAACGGCCTAAATGCGCTAGTCAACACTAGTCCTCCTACCATTGTGAAGCATTTCTCTTAGTTGGGAAAATTCAGCCTATGCAACGGCACATTTAACGAGGAGATGGCAGATTCCATCTTTGGGGCCAGTCGGACTTACCCTTTACTACCTCATACGGAATCACCGGACATTGGCCTCAACGTCAGACTGAATGTATACAGAGGACTGTGCTTCTGAATGCGCTCCTCTACGGATCAAATACTACTGTGAATACAACAAACAGGCAAGGAAATTGGACGACCTACAACCGAGCGACCTTGGGAGGAGACCGAACGTGAGGTGAAAATGACAGATCCCGGACTTCAAGGCATGCTCAGCATCTCTGAAGCACCGAAACAGATCTGACTTCTCTGGGTTGACCAGCTGATGAGAACTGGTGGACGTCTATTTAAGCAGCTTCCCTATGGTGACTTCGTCACAGTTGTTTGTCGATATGCGGCCAAAAATATCGTTCGAAGGACGATCGAATAACTCCTTGAAACGCTCCAGTAGTAACACTGAGAACAATGAAATTTCCAGGCATGACCGACGAGCATGACAGTCTCTAGTGGAAACTAAGAAAACGGTTTTTGAAGCTATAATGGTTAAGGAGACTAGGTGAAAGTTTCAGAAACTTAAAGACAGAATGTCCTAAACAGCCCTGCTAAGGTCCAGTTTCTTCTCACATGCCACAGTGCCAGTGCTCGGACTGGTCATGGACATATTCCCGTCGCTACAATGACAACTCTGACAAAGTAAATGTCAAAAATAGAATCATTTAAGAAACCGATCAGTACCTATCCTAGCGGGTCACCGTTAGGTCTTCGCGGACACCTTCATTCAGCGGCAATCGGACGCCAAGAACAGAAAAGAAACGACAACAGTGTTATTTCAGTGTCATAATGTCCCCACTATTATCGTCCATTTTGGTCACGCGCTAACTTGGTCAGACATTCGCGAATTCATAGTATTACGGGCGGTAGAACTCTGTCAAAACCGCAGGTCAATCACTGACAACTCTTCCCACGCTGTCCACAATTCGCCTACACCTTCAGGTGCGGTATTGACCTGTCCCATCGTATAAAAAGGCGTGAAAAACCCTCGATAAGTTTTCACCCACCACCCATAGAGCATCCGCTCTGTTGCAGTTCGATAACGATGGACAAACTACTGTCATGTAGAATCAAGGTTTTTTGACTGGCTTCGGGAATCCTAGTACTCTATGTGAAGTACGTTTGATGTTTAGCACTGCACTCCTGGCTTGAGTTTGGGAATCCAGGGAAGAGAACGAACAAAACCAACTCCTTCTTCCTTCCAGAGCGCACTCTAAGACTGAAAAAGTACACACACATATGCCACCCTATGTCCATTAGTCTGCCTTTTGGAAGACTGATGAGTCTTTGCAAGTGAATGTAAATCTAACATTACGGCTGTCATGGCGGTTGTTTGGTTCACTCGGTCGACATATAGGAGCGACTATTTCAGTTTGAGGAAAATGTTTTACTTTGCACTGAATTTGTAGGGTCATCGAACCAGATCTATTTTCAACTCGGAAGAGGTCCAGCACAGGTAGGAAGAAGGCAGTAAGATCCGGTGTCTGCCGTCTTCTCATGAAGATCTCCATTCCGGAATCCACTAATTTAAGCGCAGTGCGGTTCCTAAACAGCTGGGGAGACCTGATGCTAGCCTGGGGCAGGAACCTCTGCGTCCTTCCCTGGCAGGCGTTTATGCCGCGATTTCTCCACAAAAATCTTCTTTTGCAGACGGCCTTTGGAAGGCACTCGGATACCGACATAGCAACACTCAGCAGGTCTAACCTCTACGACCAGGCTGTACCGCCCCCGATGCCCTCCTACCCTACCGACTGGCTACGCACTGCGTCCGATCAAGAACGTATTCTGGTAACACCAGCTCTTGGTCCCCTTTTACTGTGCTTAACCATCATAGGCGTCTACCCAGTGACTGCAAGGGATCGTAATGTTTGAACGAACCCAGAAGCTGGTGTAAAATTGTCTTCCAAGAGGCAGAACCTGAATTCTGTTAATTCAGAAAGGCCTGCTGCTGGGTAAAATAGTAGGCCTGACTACGCCAAATGAGGGATTCCGTTTGTGAGTTGTACTGCGTTCACTCAAAATGAGCAGATTCTTGTCCCAGGATCAAGATCTATCTAGTGGCAGACCCCAATTTTGGGGTTTCATTGGTTAGCGTAAGTAGAAAACTGCGGCTAAAACCGCAATAATTGACCAAGGATTTTTGAGGTGGTGCTGCTGCGGGACCTTGTTCTGACCTTGTTAGAAATGACTACGCCGATGTGGGTTTCAGGTAGCAACTAGGAATAGTAAGACTCGAGCTGCTAGAAAGTGATCTCTAGTCACTCGATATTTCGGGATGGTCCCTCAAAAATATTATCGAAAAGCAATTGTGAAAGTAGCGAGTTACGCACACTAAAGCCTAATGTTCAGGTTACATAATACTAATGTAACGCCTACTGAACGGTCAAGCTGTCTATTTTTCCTCGGTATTCGATTTTCCAATCCTATATGGAGCTTTCTCGAGGAGGACAGTTCTTCTCGTTCCCTCAAATGAAAACTGGTTAATACTGTCTCACATTGGGGAGCAGAGCTACATGGACCGAAGTCACCAAAACCTAAAAACGGTACCTGTTCACGGCACAACCCTTTATGCCATGTGACTGTCTACTGGGAGCTATTCGCCCACAAAGTACCGTAAAAAAGACTTTCAAGGTAACTTTGGGCAGTTTAACCAACATAGACTTGAATGTCTAATTTTCTTCTAATTATAGTTGACTTCAAAAAGTTTTCGGGGAATCCTGCAACTCTAGTTTCCGCTAAAACTTGAGATTTTATTACACATCGACCGTGAAACAGAACACGGAGCATTTTGTTCAGACGGATCGTTGACATTATAAGACGATGATTATAAAGGGGACGGGTCTCAGACTAGTGGCGTTCAATGGGGGATTTTCGTTTTACTAGAAACTCGTAGACAGCAAACGGAAATGGTTTGAAGGAGCTAAGATCACGAAAAACCGCAGGAAGCCTCCATCCTTTAAAATGCCACGTTGATGGATTAGTTCCTTGGAGTTCTGGTTCGGCTTAGCAGGATCTATGGCCACAGATTCATCCACAGCCTTCTGATTAAAATTCGGACCAACCAAATATGTCGCTAGGAGAAGCCACTATAATGAGAGTACGATGATGATGATGACGACGACGACGACGACGACGACGACGCCGAATATGATGATGATGATGATGATGATGATGATGATGATGATGATGATGATGATGATGATGATGATGATGATGATGATGATGATGATGATGATGATGATGATGATGATGATGATGATGATGGAATTCTCCGCAAAACATGCTTATGCAACTAGACATCTGGCCAATCTCTCTGCGAAATATAATTGAGTAAAAATGAGGCTAGTAAACTAATGTCAAAAACTTGCAACCGACATGTGGAGTAGTGCCCAATTACAAAGCTGCACGATTAGGGTACACCAAGTTATCATTTAGACGTGAGCTTGGCATTATGGTCCACACTAATGACTGAGGCGAATTCCCTACGTATACTTATTGGGACAAAGGTAATATTTAATGGCTTTGACCCGGGATCTAATTGGCTCCACGAAAACTTCTTCTTGCCAAAGAACAGGATTTAGAGAGCAGACCTCAGTTTTGAACGGCGATATACGACAAAGTCCTCGAGCAAGGCACATTTTAGTCAGATCGATCCGTATGTTTGAGCCTGAATGTATGCATTTTCTCACAATGCTTGACACAGCTAAATTACGTAAGATCCAAGGGAACATTTAGTTGCAAGGGAGCACCCATATCTGACTCCCAATCAAACTGAATGTACTACTCGAAACTAGTTCTTTCGAAAAGTGGGAGAATTTCTTGGTTTTTTTTCAGGAGACGGAGGCGGTAATATCACACAGGTGGAAAGCTCCGTGATTTTTCATAGAAATCATAAACGGGGATGATATATCCATTTCTGTCCCAGCACTGTTCTGCGAAAACCTCGGATTTTTTAGGTCGTGTTCACTGAACAGGCTGCCGAAGATGAATATGCCAGAAATTACCACTTCAACTCTTGATGTCTATGCCACTTATGTTTCTTGATTATTGAGGATTCGCGGCTACGTGACTGCCACCCAAGACTATTGTCTGGAACTCCAGTAAAAAGCTGGCACACCCCACTTTATCCCGCTATTCAGTTAGATCATAAATGTTACCTTCCACGTTACCATTTGCATGTTCTCATTGGACAACCCTAATACCTAGAACTGTTTTTTGCATTCCCTTCCATAGGTCAAAAATCCAAGATCCTGGGGTCCTTCTCCCGCCGGACGTTCCGCTGAACCAGCAAAAAATCAAGATTATGATTGGTCGGAAGGCGTGGAAACTAGGTACAGGCTCCGCCTGGAAAACCTAATCGCAGTCAGGGATGATCTTGTTTCTCTGATGTCGCCAGTCAGCCGTTTAACAGTTTCAATCAAACCTGCCACTTCAAGTATCGGCACCAATACCTTTGAGCCCGCCTTTCAGGCCTACCTGGGGAAAGCCTACGCCGTCCTCTATAGTCTGCCACAGAAATGCATTAATAGCATTGCTTGGCAAGGCTGGAAGCACAAAGAGGATGAAACCAATCAAGTAAAAACAAAAGAATTCGACATCTTACGTCAAAGTGTCAGAAAATTCGAAAAGGAGTCGAGTAATTGCGAAAGAACTCTGACTAGAGCAACAACAAGAAAGCAAGAAGCCAGGTCTAAACGGTTTATGTTCTATTTCAGCGGCTTCCCCAATTGGGTGCATCTGAAACGTGACCACAAGACCGTCAAAGGCCCACGTTCCTCTTCCCCTCCGGTACCTCCAGTCCCAAGGTGTTTCTTCCCAGTCGATAGTTTAAAATGGGAGCCGAATTCTGCCTATCTTCGGCTCCGATATCCTCAACTGGCACCTCCGGTCCCCATCCCTCAAATTCCAACAAGATGCTTTCGAAGGCGATCGGCGATTTTCCAAAGCATGCAACGCACTGGCAGCTCTTTCGAATTCCTCGACAGTTGGGAGGACTCAATGTCTGATACTGTAAGGAGTCCGAGAAACAGTTTTATCGAGAGTTCGAAGAAAAATGACACTGATGCATATCTTTCACGTATGCGTGAGAAATGGCGGATCCGAATTCAGCTCCCCCCACTTGAACAAGGCGGGACAGGCGAAGAACAGAAGAAGAGAGTAACCTTTACGCCGCGGCGGAGGTTAAATAAACCATCGAAGTGGAACATGGTGCGGCCTGCAGTCCTTCGACGAAAGTCACCCGAAGAAATGGAATTCGAAAAGATTATATCGACCGTGAAAAAAGTTGATAGACGCTCAACCGTTATTACTGCTTTGCCGCGTTTGCCCCTCTTTTTAGAACCCTTCCGCGATTCTGATTGGCTACAGGCAACTGAGTGCTTCAGCTCACCCGACTGGCCACAGTGTCCAACTGGTCAGTCACCAGACGCGTTTGTGACCTGCTATGTGAATGCCGCCCTTATTCGAAGATTGGCAGCCTCTGAAGGCGACACACCTGCCTGCCAGCTTTTTCTTGACCTGCTTGAATTGCACTCCACCTCTCCTCTTTCCGAAGAGACTTGCGCTCACGTGAAGCGCGTCGTTTTGGGAGTTTTCATTGAGGACGCTGATTTGAGCTGGCAACCGAAGATCAGGGTCCTAGTATTCCTTGTCCGCTTACTAATTAGAATGAGAGCAACCGATGTGGACACCTTCGCTCTTCTACTTCACTGCATTGCTGTTGTAAGGGTCCTCCATTTCTCAGATAAAGTCCTTCGTACTATATTGTGCCAGTCGCTAGAGGAGGCCGGCGTTCCTGATACTCGGGGCTTCCTTTCTGATGAGCTGCGGGATATGCTGGATGTGCGAAGGATTCTTGTGCCACATACAGTCGATCACACCGAACAAGACAAAGGAGAGACGTTGAGCCTTGCTGAAACACACTCCTTGATGTCTTTTCTACGAAAGTGGCTGTTTCACTGGATTGTGGAGGCGAAACTGAAACTTAAAATGGCCTCATTAGGGGTAAGAGTCACAATACAAGGCATGTTTTTTAAAAGTAAACTTGGAATTTCGCTGTAGCTACTTAGCAGGGAAGACTACCTAACACCAGTAAGAGAGCAAGTTGGGTTTCAAAGGACAAGAATCTCGCTCTTCTCTATTACTGCTGCGTCTTTCAAAAAAGAGTAGTATTTTATCCGACTGCATCGTACGAAATGATCCTGCAGTTCGACAGAGTTTCCAAGGGAATTTTGATTAGTCAGAACCTAATCCTGATCTTATTCATAACTTTAAAGAGACTGTTTGTTGGGCACTACTGAACTCTTTCTGCCTCGGCCTGTCTGCAAATATTTACTTACTGTAAAGGAAGACGTTTGGATCTAGGCTGAGCATGTGCACAAAGATTACAATCTCAGCGATATAAACAGGCCCTACATCGTCCCCATATAAACACGCTGATGAACTCCCGGCCTATCTGCCGCTACTTTACGAAAATTTCCTATCGGGAAGGGAATTTCTGAGACGCAAATCAAAGTTAACCATTTACGGTGTTCCTAAATCACAACAAGCTAAGAAGCAGGTAACGAAAAACCTTCACGGCTCATTTTAACAAAAAAGATGATAACGCGGCAATTTTTGTCACGTGAATTAGCTTTTTAAGTTAAACTACGAAAGATGTAGCAGCAAGAAATGACAATTTCAGTCACTTTTGTCTCTGTCGGTACTCCGTTCAGCATATATTTCTGGTCGCTATGCGACTGCCTTCGTGGACTCTAGATTGAGTCCCGAGGCACAACTGTACAAACGTGTCCCGAATAATTTTGAGCCTGATCAGTCGTAGCATTAGCGTTTAACGATTCGAGTCTAAATGATAATTGCTTTCCGCGTAAGGAAAATCACACACTTTTCTGTGCTTTTAAAAAGATACCACATAGATTTCGTAAAATTTCGCAATGGACGCAGACCATGTGTTCATTTCATGAACAACATTTATGCACGAACAGGTGCAATGCTGTATGAATGGACATTGCACGGTCTTAAAACTCATAATTAGAAGTTTTTAAAGCCAAAGTGTATCCTTTTTCCTGAGCATAGCATGTAAAGATAGCGTGATTTTCTGCAAAACGAGTTGACGAAATCATGTTTTATGCATGTTCTTTATAATTTATATTTGAATTTATAAGACCACCGGAAATCATGTGAAAACTGCATGCTATTTATGTAGTCATTTTTGTCGGGTACGGTCGAAAAGAGGTACATTCAAAAGCTGAAATCCAGCCGGGTCAGAAATATCATAAGATTATGCTGCACAAAAATGAATATCACAACCCTACCTAAGTAAACCTTGCTAGTCGAAAACGCATTTTAGAATTTCGGCCGATATTTCATGCGATCGGTCACTCACTGTATTTCTGATCCCTATGCGACTGCCTTTGTGGACTCAAGATCGTGCCCCAAGGCACAAATGGAAAACCATGTCCTGTAGCTCGATCGGCGAACACAATATCAACATTTCCCATGGTTTTCGTGAATTAATTTAGTGAAAAAAACCAGTGCCTTATTATGCAGTCTTCTTAACCTACATGCTTTGGAGAGCGGCTTACAATTAGGCTATTATGCAAGGTCGAGCTCCATTAAAAAATGCAAACTTTCTTTGGTGGACTTCTATCCATCTGACCATACATTCTGTACCTGCAGACACTCCCCTTTTACCGTTTATATGCCATTATATATGTCGTATATGTTAACATTGTGGGCCATGTTAAGTCTATCTATTGTAATTGCCCGCCTGTGTTTAAGACGTTTGTTTGGCAATCCCAAGAGAAACTTGCCTCAGATTATATTGGACTCGCAGTCCAGATCTGAAATAAGGGAATGAGAATTTTTCATGCGGTTAGAATCTACCTGTGACTAAGATAATTTGCCTGTTTTCTCTAGTCCACTTTGTGAAAATGCTGTTTATACTTATCTGTATAATAAGAATCAGCTAAATTCTTTGGTTACCTTTAAAAATAAAACGGGGAACGCAATATCCCGACACGACACGCTTGTAATAATATGCCTGCTATTCTAAGCTCAGAATATAATTCAAAATCTACACAGTTGATTTTGCGAACATGGGATTTGCTGTTGTTCTAAAAAGGCTTCTTCCAGAGAGTAACTGTGCAGGCGCAGTTTTTCGCATTCGCAAAACCTGCTACAATATTCGCCACACTGAGCAAACGTCTAGTCATATATTGTGCGCAAAATAAATCCACGTATAAGACTGGTAGGTAAATATTGAAATTGTTGTTTAAAATGCCTGCATGTCTCACAAACGTACAATGTTCGACACGATGTAATTTAATCAGTGCTTTCTATCAAGTTCACTTCAGAAGACAAATTACAAAACGTATTGGGCAAGTAAGGCAATATGAGGGTGGTAAATTTCGCTGGTCTTTTTGCGGCAGGTCCCTAGTAATTTTTTTCAAGTAGAAGCTCTAAATTCCGGGGAAAAACAAATGTAGCCTCCAGCGTAAAAGCTGTACGCAGCAACATAAAAGTGCTGGAGCCGTCTTTTTATCGGGAGAAAAGTTTCGTATTTTTTTAAAGTTGGCCGTTCCAGTTTACGAACTACATATGAGGAAGTTTTCCCGTAGGTCAGTTTTTAAGCCGTTTTATGGCTTTATACCTATTTTAACGTATAATGTTGATTATATAAGAGAGTAAGTCGAGTGAATTGCATGATTTTGCTGTTGCTGTGCACATCTACAGGGCCTAGCTGCAAAAACCTCCCAATTGAGGCAAGGAAATCAAAATAAGTGCCAATCTAGGGGGAATCAATGTTTCTTCCGATGCTAAGGTTTCTATAACGTGCTCAGAAATGTCCTAAACTGGTTATTTGCGTACATGTCCCAAAGCCGCTAGCTACCCCAATAAACAAGACACATTTCATTGAGTTGTCGATCATACACTAAGCCTTCCCTGCTGCGGTCAATGACCTTTCGGGTCTACCGTTGTAGCGACTAACAGTGCTTTGACCCTGAACTGTAACTGACTCCTCAGCATGCGGATCAAACTGACTTAGATAATAGAGCTGCATCAAATTAAAATTAGTGAGCTCCAGCGACAAATGATTTTGGCCGGTCGACCAGTCAACGGGAAACCACTGATAAGATGGATTAATTTTCAAAATGAAGACTGCGGACCCCATGGAACCTGGGCGCATTCCCTATTATAACAAATCTGACGTGTGCGACTCTATCACGACGTGCTTATCCTTGTGACCTTGCCAAATGAGGATATAATTCGGACTTCGCAGTCAGCCTGTGTGTTTGGAGTGACGGACTGACGGACCAGCAGTCAGGCCCAGTGGCCATAATCGCACTCTCAGACCAGTGCGTTCCGAACCGTCCATCACCTTTATGTGAAAGTCTGGTGCGTTGTACGAGATCCAAATCATGTGTGACACCCCCAGACAGGGCCCTTTAACCCTGCCAACCGCTTGCGCCGAATCCCAAAATAAGCTGCACTGGTGCCTCGAAGAGATGAAAGACGGAGTGGGATCAAATCCGGGTTTCGGTCGCCCGGGGCTTAAGTCAACGACATTTCGTGTCTGCCATGGTAGCGACTAACGGTACTCTAACTTCGGACAGAAAATGGGTCCTTAACGTGCAGACTTGTACAGTAGGGCCGCAGCAGCTCAGTCTTCCCAGATCTATCAGGGGCGTGCGCGCTCTCAGCGACGGACAACACTGAATGACCCACCATACGCACCACACGTGACTCTTCGTCTACGCCCACACTCCTAAGGATTCTGTGAGGAGAGATATCGAGACTCGCATAAGTGTGAATACATTAAGCAGGAACCACTGAAATTTGGCCGCATTTCTAGGTAGACCCATGCTGGCCCGTCAGCCGGCAATTTTCCCAACCCCGACGGGTAGCGCATCGAGATGCCTTTAAGGCACACTTGGCTTGTAATAATGAAGAAACCAGGCGCTTAACTCATGCTTGACCGATCTCGCTCTCTCCATCTTACGGAGAAGCTACTGAAATCTGCCTCTGATTTCAAAGAAAAACCGCTTTATCTGATCAGTTGCCTGCCTCCCAAGCAGTGAACTGAAGTGCGTCTCTACTGTCTAGAGTGCGTCTGATCTATTATCGCCACGAGTTCTTGGGATTTCCACCCACTTTCCCCATGCTCCTCTCAACCCCTACATTGGTAGCCAGTACGAGTCTGTCAGCCAACCGAGGCTGAGACTCAGTGCAGTGACTGGCCCTGTATGAGCCCGACCCTCTATCTACTTCGTGTATGTACGGCAGTGAACAAGAATCCATACGGACTGAGCGTAGCACAGCTAACGCACGTCATGAGTAGAGTGTCCTCCGTATTGGTACGACGCAGCCCGTTTGGCATAAGTTACAAGTTGGCTCACTTAGCCAAACATTTTCGGATACTGTTTTGCCAAGTTCCCCCGCACTAGACTAAGCACAACTGTTGAACAGAAGTGTCCGCGGAGAGAACCTACTATGGTAGGGGGCGCTCACCGATCGTTCTTGCAGAACTCACTCATTCCGTTGTGCCTTAAGGGCTCTCTCTCGAGCCCAACCAGCAACCGCACATCGGTGCATAATATAGGCAGTATGTTGTTATCGACAAAGACAAGGGAGACTGGAATGGCCAGTTCTGGCTTATTAGCCGTTGTCAGCCAGTCATAACCAACCCCGAAATGTGGAACACCTGAGGCTCGAACTCGCGACCTGTTAGTTAGAAGTCCACGCCTCTAACCGCTGTGTAGGCCGCCAAAAATGTCCCTAACTGTCTAAAAGCCCATAGATCATGGGCCTAAGCGTCGGGCTTTAGTCGACGACATTTCGTGTACACCGTGGTAGCAACTAACGTTTCCTTAACTGAAAACGACTTCTTAGAGTACAGACCACACTGGCTTATGCAACTGAATTATAAGAGATGAGCAATGTTAGGCTACAGCTAGAAATACACTTGGCGATGTGTCAAGATGTGAGAGGCGAGACTGTCCGGACACTCCATTGCCCACATGTGGCAGACGAGCCAAAGAACGCTGGAAGGATAGACGAGTATTTATGTGGGAGTTGGTGACAAAGAACGAGCTCACGGGAAAGGTAGGGGATATGCAAAGGCTCCTGAGAGCTCATTCCTATCCGTTTCAGGGTTTTAAATATTATACCAGGTTTCGTCACCTTTTGGCACGTTACGGGTCGGCAAATAAAGAAGTTATTCTTAAAAATGAGCGCTGAACAACGGCACCCTTGATCAATTTTTTTCATAACGAAACAGGAAATTTCTGATGAACGCAACGTCGCCTATGGTGCTTACTGTACAATGTAGTCGATCACCTGAATCTCTTCGAGACATCGAAACAGAAGAACCAGTGTTTGGAATACAACTGAGGAAGGGATCATAACGAATTTCACTAATGTCATTGTCTAGGCTGATGGGGGCCACTTTCATAGTGGGTAGCAATATGGCAGTTAGTGAAAACGAACTCGTGATACTCTGAGAACACCTGGTAGCAATCAAAACTAGACTGGGGAACTTTTTTTGCAGATGATAACGCAGCTTCTCGTCGAGCAAGGATTGTTAAGGCCTTTAGGATTCAGTTAGATATGAACTATTCACTCCATTGCGCGAACGCAAGACTTAAATGCGATAGACCATACGCGGATTTTCTGGAGCAAAAACTTAACCAGGCAGGGCTTCCATCCGAACTGACATACCTGAATGTCCCCTCTATCCGCAACTGGAGTGAACTACCGACTACTGTTATCACTAAATTAGTCGCCAGCATACCACCGACGATTGTAGAATGACAGTGGCAAGAGTCGAGACATCGGGTAAATCAAAAGGTATCAGGGTGAAATTTTCACTTTAGAGCTCTAAACCCGTCTTTGCTTTTCCCTCTATTTTGAATTTTGAACAAGAAGACCCCTGTTTTATTGAATGAGTTTGCTTGGATGCACAGTCAGGCTCTAGTATGAGGGAAGGGGGACATTTATCTAATGTGGTCTTAACATAGGCTTGTAGTCATTTTCTGAAATCTTGAGGACTGAGTTGTGAAGGAAACCGATCCCGTGAGGAAAAGCCTCAAACAATTTAACGATAAGCTTCGATTTTATTGCTAAATTGCCCTCACTCATCCGGAAATTCGATAAGATATTACGTAGCCAATTATGCTGCCCACAGTTCCCCGCCTTTATTCCAAGTAGTAACGTACTCAGCGAATGGGACGAGACCAGGAACAACGATAAAAAAACACAATGCAATGGTTACTGTCCAGTTTGTGAGTAAGCAGGAAGTGTGTGAAAAATCGTGAACAGAAGTCAGTATCAGTATCAGTTTATTAAGGGAAATATAGGCAAGCGCCTTTGAATGCCCTCTTGGTTACAAGTCGTCGGAGAAAAACATTGATAAATGGGAAGGTGAAAAAGGGATTTTGTACATACTCGCGGACAGCTGGCAGCTAGCCGAAAAAGAGTAATCAGTAATGGTTACTTACTAATTACAAGTAGTATAAACACATATAAGATGGTACCGGGTTATGTGAGTGGATGTGGGAGTGGTAATTGGGAAGCTTGATGCAGGTCAAGTCTACACTTGAAGGAGTTCACACAGGAGGAGGTTACAACATCGTTAGGTAGGGAATTCCAGGCTGCAACCACTCTGTTACTGAAAAAGGACTTTCGTCCATTGGTTCTTGATTTCCCTGCGCGTAGTTTTAGGGGATGACCGCGCAAATTGGGCGTGTTAGCTTTGGTGAAATAATCAGTGGGATCTAAGCAACAGTCTAGGCCGTTGATGATGCGAAATGTTAGTATAAGGTCACCACGTAATTGCCTGTAGGAAAGGGGAAACAGGTTTAGGATTGACAGTCTGGTTTCATAGGGCAGTGCTCCCAGACCTTGTGTCATTTTGGTCGCCCGTCTCTGGACCTTCTCCAAGACGGTATAATCCTTGGCAGTCCAGGGTCTCCACGCCTGTATGGCGTATTCTAGATGAGGTCGCACGAAGGTGCCAAATATTTTGGAAAAGCAGTCAGGGTCAAAACCCATAAATGCTCGCCTAATGAGTTGCAATGTGGCCGTAGCCGATTTAGCCGCCTTCGCGCAGTGCAGTGTTGGTTTGAGTGAAGATGTAATCCATACACCCAGGTCCCTCTGACTGTCAACCTGTTGCAGTGGTGTGCCGTTTAGAAAGTAGGTCCTGGGGCTGGGGGCTCTGAAGCCGCCGAGTTGAAGAAAGTTACACTTGCTTATACTGAAGGGCATAAGCCAGCGCTTCGACCAGTCTTCGAGCCTGTTCAAGTTTGCTTGCAGGTGGTCTGCGTCTGCCGCATCGTGAATAACTTTCCACAATTTTATGTCGTCGGCAAACAGGATGGCATCACAGTCTAGGTCCTTGACGCAGTCATTTACGAAAACGAGGAATAACGTGGGACCTAAGACTGAGCCCTGTGGGACGCCACTCACCACGCTTACATCTGAGGACTGTTGACGCCCGACCTGCACTCTCTGGGACCGTCCAGACAAAAAGCTCTGGATGCATGAATTTAAAAAACATGCTTCTCTGACAGATTTTTGCACTGTTTTACTGCTTTGCCAATTAATCTAGCAGCCAGAAAACGCGAAGGCAGCCGTGGCCATCCCGCGAGCCCCAGGAAGGAAGGCGCATCACAAGGTTCACCGAAAAAAATCTCGTCGAGCATCGCTTCAGGAGAAAGTATCAATAAACGCCATCGATGCTATCCGGACCTTCTACTCGTGGAAAGAAGATAAGTGCAATGTAACTTTGCACGAGATCTCCGATGAAGCAAGTGAAAAGACTGTTGTGCCGCTCAAAGCGCCGAGGAAACCGAAGGAGCCTGTCTACCGCACAATAGTGACGATCAAAACACGGGTATGTCATTCGACTATATTCCTATGAACTTCTTAAACTTTCATCTAACGTGCATCGAGTTCACCTTGACGATAATTGGTGTAGAAGCGGACAGACGAGCACGAGGAAACAGTAGTGAAGAAGGAGACACGATCATTGGGACAAGAGCTTTATTAGCATTACGTTTCGGATTCCAGCTCGAACACATCGTCAGAGACAATAGCAGATACGGGTGGTTCATGCGCAAGGGACTGCAGTATTTATAGGATTCTGTCGCCATGCTATCGCACACCTACGAATATCCATGGCTCCCCCTTCATCCGGGATCGTCGCCCTTGGTGTCCTAATTGTTTGATGTCGACATTCGCGCCGTTAATTGCTACAATTCCATCACAGATGTTGGATGCTGGTGTAATGATTGCTCGACCATTTGACCCCCCACCCCTGGCATTGGGAACAGTGCGCTCCCCGCATGGCTAACTACTACGCCTGAGCGAAGTCTCGGCACCTAGTATGGAAGGGGAAGGTCGTTGCACTTGGCAATAAACTAGGTACCAGTGAGCCGTGATTCCAGCAGCTCGCGGCTCACACGGTTATCACGACCAGCGAGAATTTCGGCCTCATTGAATTTGAATGTGTGGCCGGATCTCGTCGAATGAGCCGCCAATTGAGAGCTGACGTCATTTCTCCACACTGTTGTAGTGTGTTTGGCCATTCGCGTTCGGGTCAGTCTTCCGGTTTCTTCGACGTAATAGCTTTTGTCTGCAACTGCACCAGACTCGATAAACGACTCCAGAAGTTTCTTGCCGTGATAGCGGGTCTCTCGATTTCATTACCTGACGCCTGATGGTTGCCTCCGGTTTGTGTGCAACTCCAACCCCAAGTGGTGTGAGAAGGCGGCCGACAGCCTCCGAAACGTTCTTGACATACGGAAGCACTCACCAAAATTTGATGTCCGTGTGGTTTGGCCTTTTGTCCTTTCTGCGTATGCACCGGTTTCGAAGTTGCGCAGGTAGCCATTGGTTTTGAAGACCCATCGAAGGTGTTGTAGTTCGGCCATCTTGTCTTCCGCCTCACTGGAGTGCGTTTCGACACGCCAATAGAGCGTCCTTACACAACTGCGGTTATGGCTGTTTCGATGGTTTCTGTTGAAGCTCAGTAGTTCCATCGTATTTGTTGCCCTCCTGAACAAGTTGGTTTTTAGGCCATGAGTTTTCCAAAGCCAACAACGTAGAATTAATTTCGCGTGTCAGGGCTCGTTGCAAAAGTGGCATATAATTGTCGGTCCTTCAGTAAACCTTTGGCTTTTTGAAGGTAGTCTGTCCTGTCCAGTGCGACCGTGGAGCACCCCTTTTCCACTAGCACGATGAACAGGTCATTGTCACCGCGCAGACTAAAGCATGTCATTATAAGCCGACTACGAATCGCGAGTATGTGGTGAAATGAACCGCTTGAAAGCCAGTGTGATGGCTTAATTGCAAATTTTTTCGAGGAAAGCAGTCCGCAATCAAATAATATTAGGTCTTTAAACAAAATAGGACTCACATTTGGAAAGGTTGAGTGAAAAGAGAGAAATAGAATAATGATGAAACTACCAGGGAGATTGAGAGAATGAGAAATATAACTATCCTAGTTGCCCTGCTAAAGCAAAACTGTCTCCTTGACGGATAGCCAACTTTATTCAGAAAAAGGATATTTAAAAGCTGGATGCCCACTGAAGAGGCATTTAAATGCGTCCGGCGGTGTTAGCAATATTCGGCAGATTTCTGAGCGCTCTGGGGAAACTGATTTCACTGACGGTCACTGGTCCTCTCTTTAGCGACTACTGACCGAAATCCTATGATATGTAAGGCCTCCGACCAGAGGTACATAAGAACGAAATAAAGTTTTTAAATTTGCAGGTATTACATCAATCAGAAGCTACGACAAAGGTCACCATGGTGAGTCCTAAAATCTAAATTTATATTTATCACAACTACTATCTGAACTCAAGTCTTGGGGACTAGGTTTAAACGAATCAGGATCGACATCTCACTGCCTTCGCACACTGAGTACATGAACTCGGGTTCTTTTCACTAAGTTTACCCTTCCTGTAGTTTGTTAACTCCATGTGCAAATTCTTCCTTCTATGCCAACACAGACGGTGGGCGGAAAACTACCCGAATGCGTCGGTTTCCACGACGCCAGTCGGCCAGCCTTTGCTAACCCCTGGCGCTCCTACTGCCAAGCCATGCTGAGTCGTCTGCCACCTATGCTGCACTTCCGACCTCCAATGGTCACGCCAATGCCCTTTGAGGAGCGCCGCGAGCGCCTGGAATCTCTGTCAAAGGACATTGACCGGGTCAGGCAACAGGTCGCTTCGCTGGTGTACTGGTTCCTTCCCGAATTATCACGAGTACTGCCCTGCCTCCTCGATGGGAACAGTGCTGCTGATCTGGGTACCAACACGCCTACTCGATGGACAGTCAATCAGAAACGGGTTTGTTTTCTGCGCGGGGAGCAGTCACGACTGGCTTTGTCAATGGAACTGGACGACTGAGACCCTCTATCACACTCTGTCACGTTGGAAATATATACTTTGCATAGTTCATATTCAGCAGGAGAGGGTTCTTCTCTGGTTAAAGGGGGCAGAGGTAGAAGTGAAAAACCGTTGTAACTCAATATAATTCATAGATGGGTTGGCAGATTTTTGAATAATTCATATTGACCCACCTGTGAAAAACTCGGCGCCTCGATGGGATTCGAACCCACGCAGTAAGGAGAAGGCTTTAGTACAGCCAACGCTCTAACCACTTGAGCTACGAGGCCCCGCCGGACGACGCGAGTTTAATCACATTTGGGTCAAGTTATCCGCCAAACCTACTACAACGTCTGGAATCCACCAAAAATGATACTGTAAGTTGAATGAACAAGCAGGATTCTCCAAGTAATTCACCTAGAATCCACCAGATTACTACCAGGCTCGCGTAATTCTTAGATGTATGTTGGGCGGGTAACTTGAGCCAAATGTGATTGAACTCGCGTCGTCCGGCGGGGCCTCGTAGCTTAAGTGGTTAGCGCGTTGACTGTACTAAAGCCTTCCCCTTACTGCGTGGACTCGAATCTCATCAAGGCACCGAGTTTTTCACAGTTGGGTCATTATGAATAATTCAATATAAACAAGCCAGCATTGGTCTGATAAAAATGCTCATTTTCTGTGACATTCTCGTTTGATGGCATACCAAGCAGCAATATTTTTAGGCATAAGCTTTGCAGCATATGATATTCGCTCAATACATATTCCGTGCTTCAGTGTAAGAGACGGTAATAGTGCACGCTGAAAAAACACAAACGGCTATATCGCGCCTCCAACAACACTAACCCCTACTACTACTACTACTACTACTACTACTACTACTACTACTACTACTACTACCACTACTACTACTACTACTACTACTACTACCACTAGTATTACTGCCATCACTAATATTACTATTAATGCCGTTAATAATGCAATTAGTACCACTGATGTTAATATTGCCACTGCTGTCACCAATGCTAATAGTGTTACTACCACCGTTATTGTCAATAATGTTACTACGAGCACTAAGTTTGCTGCTAATGCTACTACCATCATTACAAATATGTCTGCTACAGACGAGCTGTCGGCTCATAGGACCATCTCGACGTTTTGATTTGCTGGTAAAAAGTATAATGCAATCAGTCATATCACTGTCATCAAGCCTAAAATTAACGCTATTGCTGATGGATTTGCTACTGCTTCTAATGCATACAATACTACTACTGCAACTATTACTACTTCTACTACCACTGATACAACTACTCCGCCACTAGTAACAATCGCTATACCGATTCTATGATCACTAACATCACCATTATTCCTAATACGTTCGAAATCGCCATGGCTGGTCTTTATGATGCTAATATGTATGCCACTGCTAAGATTCATGGTATATCATACGTTATTTCTGCCAGTGTACTAACTGCCAATCCACCTTCTATGATCCCTGCCAACTTAATTGCTAAAACTAATACCAATCATCAAGAGATTTCGTCATTTTCATTTGAGAATGATTTTACCCACTTGACAAGCTAACAAGGCTTTCACGTTACGGTCATCATCTGACGCCTTAAACAACTTATGTGGCGAATGCCTGCAAGTTTAATAATTTGGATTGAGTTTAGCACAAGCCTCTTCTATGCGAAATCTAACCCTGGTGCCCGTCAGCAAAATACCAAATTCCCCAACGCCAGGATTTAGAGAGCACCCTAGCGGTTTCTGCAGCGTCTGGTGCTCGTGGTGGTTGAGTGCAAAATGATTTACACAAGCTGTTGTAGCCCGTGGAGTAGGCCGAAAATAGGGTTTGAGTGGTACACGAGCAGAAATGTAGTCGAACAACGCCTACTTAAATAAAGGTAGTAATGCGTCCTGCATATTAAACCTGTCCTAGTCACATGCCATACCCTCGCCGTTTCCTAACCAATGACAGCTTGATTTATTACAGTCTGCTCGTGAGCATTAAAGGGCGAACGAAGGCGACAGTTGTGAACTCTACTTTCAAAAATCGAAATACTGGTGTCAGCAAGACCTATTTTCACTCACTCACGCCGTAGCATACCGACTTCCACGACATATGTAACCGAGGACAACTTGGGAACGACCTAAGAAACCCAATGTGCCTCAACGGCTCCAGGGTCCTCCAGTAGGGAAATACGAGCGGTAAAACCAAGGGGTTTTCCGCAAACCATCCTGGAATCCGACTCGACTGATGACAATCCAACCGTCAGTTTACGGAAAATATGGTGATGCTGACGTCAGAGACTTATTTGGAAACACTACAGTAAACCCCAGAAAAGCCTTGTCCCCAAGTAACAAGGTCCAATATCAGGCTCACTTTTCGGGGTACACGGTAAAGAATAAAAGAGCCCGTATTTAGGCCTTCCTTCCCTCCGGTTTTCACTAAATCAGGTGGATAGCCCACACATAGGACAGAAAACGAGACTGCCGGCCGCGATTCCAGTGGTCTGCACAGGCCATAAGTGCATCCAGGCGGCGCCAATCATGCAACCATGTAATATCCCCTGGACGTACGACGTTTCAAGCGGTGAAAGCGATGCGAGCGGCGAGACCGACAGAGCAGGATTGGATGGGGCGAGGAGAACAATTAATTTGGTGATAATTGATAATTTGGCCTTCGTTAGTTTGCTCCAGCCGGTCTAGATCGCCTAGACACATCATTTGCTTGCACAAACTCAAGGGGACCAAAGTGAACTTTAGTTGAGCAAATTGCCCAGCTCGACGAACAGCTCAGTATTAGTTTCCATTAGGCACGCAAGACACCTAAGAAAGAGGCATTTTTCAAAGAGGCATCAGGAAAATTGTATAAAAGGAAACGACAGTGAAAGGGTCCAGGCGTCGGGGAAACTCTTTATCAGTGGTTCTCCACTGTTAACAGATGAGGAGCAGGTTTCCGTGAATCAGTACTAACGAACAAGTCAAAGCCTTCGTCATAAAAGACAGGTAGAAACGAACGTCAAAATAACAGATAACCGGCTGCCTTAATTAAAATGCATGCAGGATATAAAATCCAAAATAGCACACAGAGAGAAAGACAGTGCTGAAATCGGGAATATAGGAAGTCTCCGTGAATAGTTGAATAATTTAGTGTAGATGTGATTCGTAATGCTAGATTAACAGGTCTGTCCTGTCCTGCCACCTACGAGAATTTTCAGGTCGAAAACGACACTAGATAGCATTATTACTTTGAGCTGCTTATATGTGCGCGAAAATGACAGACATGATATATTAACGATCGGAGCACGTATAGGCACTGAATGCTACAGAGGACTCATAATGGACAGTCTGTCTCTTTAATAATATATCAGTATGTATGCGTGAATGACTGCGGATATTTATAGGAAACGGTTGGCAATATCGAATTCAGAACTATGCGGAAAGCCAGAGCAGGTTCACCCTCTACTTGATGTCTGTGTTGTACACACTAATGCCTGTTAATTCCTTTGGAAAACGGAAATCGCAGCAGATGCTGAGAATATGCATTCTGAGGAGGAGGTTAGTAAATTCCATAATTGGAACTGCTGAAGGAAGTCTGTGGAGCTGTTCTTCAGCGGCCAAAGAATTTCGTGCAAGGACAGCTGGTCAACGAGGAAAGCAGCTTGTCCCCAAATAGTTGAACAGAAGCAGGCGGTAAAGTGATCCTGAACTGATTTATTCACTGTGTTTCCGTAGCGTCAAAGCGGTGTGAGTGTGTGGTCAGAATGCTACAATCATCAGGCCAAATCTCGGGTTGTAGGAAAAGACAGAAGTTACCTGATTGAGGGGTATATTGCATGCAGAATCCTGAGTTGTCCTCTCAGGCGCAGTGGCCGCTGGCAAAGGCAGAGCTGGTGCTGACTGCATCTGACAATTCGTGAGGCAGTTATGGCAGCCGCGTTTGTAGGCTTGTGAATGCAATCTGAAGTCGTGTCTAATCGGTGTGTTGCCTTTGCCGAAGGGTGGTGTTTAAGTGGCTACGCTATATCCGCAGGGGAGTGGGATGTTCGAGTGGTGCATGGGCAGATGCGACCCCGTGGACGCACGTGCGTATGGGTTGAAATCCTTCGAGTGGCTCCAAGCCGGAGAGTCTGAAATCACAGGTGACGGAGGTAAATGGTCTTCACGCAGAGGGACTCTTAACAAGGACGTCAGACGTGTCCATGCTGGCTATCGGCAACAGTTCCAAGAGTACAGGTTTGATGATGCTACATGCACACGGCTAATAATACGGGCAGGGTAAATAATAAGTTTTATCACTTGTATCCAAACTATTCTCGCACGTCACGATGATACCGACGGTGATAGTTCGACCATCAGTCCGACGCTGACCACCGTGTGCTCCACAGCAAAATGGAACAGGCGCGGCGACCTGTGTGTGAATTAGTTTACAGTGAGAGTAGAATTGCGCAGCACCTACCACAGTCCATCCTCCTTCACATCTGCGTCCGGTGTCAATAGGGAGTCAAGAAGACCGGGGGCAGGAGAGAGCGCAGGCGGCTGACATGGTCGGACCATCACCCAGGCGTACCACCACACCCCCTGGTCCACAGCAAACACTTGATCAGGGTTTCAACTGACATCAGAAAATAGGTGGATGATTGAACAGGCATGCGCACGACCTGTATACCCAGCGGGAGCGCAAGCGCATCTACCGGCAGGGAGCCAGGTGCTAGAGAACTGACAGCGCACACTAGGCTGCGAGTGTCACGGTTTGCTGTTCACGACATGGCAGACGCTCAAAAACCTTGGAGTCCAGGCGGGTGACACACAGTCCCGCGTTTGCTTGGACCACCAAACTTAAAATGCTGGCTAACCAGCCAGACAACGACTGAAAGGCACTACCCGACAATTCGGCCGTCGATTCCGACGATGTCCACCGTGTGCTCCACTGGAAGGTAAAGCAGACACGGTGACTTGCGCGTTATTTAGTTTATAGGGGAGGTGGACTTGCGTAACATCTACCGCACTCTCTCTCTCGTCCCCGCTCCCCACACGGACCCGCTGTCAAGGCAGAGTCAGGAAGACCGGGGGCGGGGGAGGGCTCAAGTGCAAAGGCCCTACCCGTTAAGCAAGACACACTCCTCACATGCATGAGAGTGCCCCAGGTCACCTTCAGGAGTCGTGACAGCCTAACTCCCATGCCACGAGTCCACCAGTTTATATAAATGCACACAACTGGGCAGACTGCGCGGACCGAGTTGAGTTGTCACAGGTTCCTCTCAGAAGGAGCTGTAACAGCCTTGCTCCCAGCCCACCACCCAACCACACACAACTGGGCAGACTGCGTGGGCTGAGTTGAGGCGTCAGTCGGCAGCCTTTCAAGCTACGGCGCTGGCGCACCATGATAGGCTCAGGCTCGGATCACACATTCAGTAGAGGAGCCGCATGTAGACGGAACCAAGAAACACACTTCCGATTGCATCGGAGGTGGCAATCAAGAGCTTGCACTGGTGTTATTTTTGTGTGATGTGGGTGCTAGTGGGGGGTGCGTGATAACCGACGGTTGTGGAGCGCAGGTTTTCACGAATGCGCACATGACCTATGAAGCCCATGCAGTGGTTGAACGTGCGGAAGCAGTGAGGCGGCGGCGAGTGTAGGTTGTTACTTCAGGCACTGGTTCACCAGTCTCAAGTGAACGACCAGGCCGACGTGTGAAATGAATGTGCGATTGCAATGAGGACAGGTAGAAAACGAGCCCACATCGTTGGAGGTGGGGATGTCGGTGATGTTTGAAGTTGATGAAACGTCGGACTTTGTCCTGTCGGTTGGATGTGTACGTGAATATGCGTAGGCGGTGATACTGGCCGCCGTGATCAATGCAGGATTTGGAACAGGACGGATGGCGTTGGTGTATTGTGACGGCAGGGCAGCGACAGTGTGATCGGCGTTGACGACGGTGGCGGACGGCGCGGGATTTGCGGCAGGGGCGAGAGTTGGAGAAAAGGTAAACGTTGTTGGGTTGACGGCGCACTCGGTCCGAAGGTGTCCCACGAGACAGATTCGTGCGCGGAATGTGCGTTGGAATATTGCAATCGACGGATGATTAGCGCTAAGGAGGTGAGGCAATTGGGATTTGAGAGCCTCCGGTTTAGCTTTAGAAGCGGAAATCGGATTGATTTCGTAGGTGGCTGCACCGGTCTTCACTTCTCGTCTCCAGACAGGTCTGTTCCGAGAGAGATCCTCCCAGATCTCTGGATTGATATTTCTTACGAGAACTCCTCAATGTTTTGGTCCTCCTGGTCGGCCAGCACAGGTGACGACACCACCGTAGATGAGCTGTTTCGGCAGACGTGTATCTCCCATGCTCAAGAGATGACCTGTTCACCGAAGTCGCAGTTGTCTCAGCATGACGTGAATGCTAAAGAGGCCGATTCGTTCTGCGACTTCCGTGTTGGAGATCCTGTCTTTCCACCTCAACTTTGGTATTCTTCAAATGCAGCTGAGATGGAAGTGGTTGAGTTTCTTGGCATGATTGGAGTGGACGGTCTGAGTCTCCACTCCGTGGAGAAGTGTCGTCAGGACGACGGTCTTATATATCTTTAGTTTGGCATTCAGCTGGAGGCCGTGCGATTCCATACAGATTCCGCAGCCAACCGAAGACTTGGCTGGCTTTGGAGATTAGATGGGCCACTTCGTCCTAGATTCTTATGCAGCGAGGCATTGTACTGCCTAGGAAGTTTAAGTTATCCACTGGCTTGAGTTCATTTCCGTTGACGCGGATGTGGGAGACACTGCATTCAACAGCCGATGGCACCAGATACATGACCACCGTTTTGTCTGTATTGATGGTCATCATCTCGTCGATTGATAAAGAAGAACTTCTGCAGGACGCTCCACGGTCCTTCTCGATTCACTGTTTCGAAGGTTTTCGTCGGATCCACGAAGATGGTGTGGGGGTAGGTCGGTGTCTCCTGGCACTTCTCTTGAAGCTGCCGAGTGATAAAGTTCATATCAATGCTGCGCGGTTTCTCCGGAAACCGTACTGTCTTTCGCGCAGAAATCCTTGATCTAAGTGGCCGTTGAGACGATTAAGGAGAATGTGAGCGGAGATATTCCCGACGATTTTGAGTGGTGAGATGCCCCTGTGATTGCCAGAGTAGCCCGTTCTCCTTGCGCCTGTGCAGATGGACGATGTTTGCGTCCTTGAAATCCCGAGAAACCTGTCCGCAGTAAAACGTCTACTTAAATAACACCACCAGCTGGTCCATTAGGCGGTGGCCGCCGTGCTTGTAGATTTCAGCTGGGCTCGCATCGGAGTCGGCTCGAATGGTTTCTGTGGGAGAGGGCGGGAGGTCCGAGTTGGTGTTGGTTTTCACTTGAGGGAGCCGGTCCGTGGCGGCGTCGAATATTCCGGATGGACGGTTGATAACGCTTCGGAACTGCTCGTCCTAACGCTTCAGAACCTGCGACTTCGACGAAAGCGTTGATCCATCGGAGCTGAGAAGCGGTGAAGTTTCTTTGGTTGGGAGGCCGTAGACCGCCTTGATCACATCAAAGAATTTTCGGATTAATTGTGGTCAGCATAGCCCTGGATTTCCTCGGTCTCGTGAGCCATCCGGGCGTCCTGTATTTCTCGTAACCTCTGTTGCCCGAAGGCGGCGACATTGGTAGAAGGCCGCTTTGCTCGTACCAGTTGGGCGGTCGAGATAGACTCCGTTCAGTCTGTTCTTCTCGGCTAGCAGGTAACTGACGGCTGCGTCATTGTCGACGAGCCAGTCCTAGCGCGGAAAACGTGCTCGGTCGAGGACAGCCAGGGTGGTCGAATGAACTGTGCCCCGTAGTCGGTACGACATGCCGGTAAAAGCAGTAGACTGAACGGAATGCCAGAAACCCTATTACGGTACTACAATCTTATTTTGTTCAGAAAGACGGCAAGAGTAGCTCTTTGCATGTGCCAAATACCCGCGCGATTGAATGTTTCAAAATACATTTGCAAGTTTTACAGAAAATTACCCGTAACGCATTTTATGTCTAATTAACGTCTATACGTGCCCTGAATGGGGAGGCCATTAAGCCTAGGCGACTGTGAAATTCAATATTTATGTAAAAATTTATTCGACCGAAGGTTGCTCTTGTCGTTGTTGTTGATGCAGTTCTCGTTGGTGAAAAAATGGCAATCTTTGATTTATACGGTAGGAAGTTCTAGGAAGCCAGACCACGTGCTGCCCCCATCTTGCAAAAAGTTCTATAAAGCGCGCCCCTTTAGGGACGCGTGCGCCGAACTTTTCCATATTTATACGCCAGGCACTTAGTCGCAATTTGGCTTCTCGTGAAAAGTATACATATAATAAATTAATATGATCCCAAATTAAGCAAAATAGTCTTGACCTAAGTTTGCTTAACCTTCCCTCCCTTGACCTGCCCTCGACCAATCAACAATGGCGGACTCAACCTTGACGCCTTCGGCCCCTGGAGAAGCTAAAAATACGGCTGAGGATTAACCTCCGTGGAACCCGTGGCCGGTCGCCGTCCTTCGTACGAGAAACCCCTGTTGCCTTCTGCGCTGCATCCCACTGCTCTCCACCGTTCCTGCGCACAATCGCCCCAGATTCAGTTTATTTTTGTAATTAGGACTCCTCCCTTAGTTTCTTTGTGTACATAGGTCTTTCAGTAAAATAGCGACTAGTCACTCTTAGCCTGTTGGGCCTCGTTGACTATATACTCGCGCTAGACGGGAGCGTTACAATACCCTGCATGTGTGTGCTCCTCACTTCCTATTAGAAGCTAATATGAGCCTTTGCTCACTAAGGCGCTTCAGGGTTTATGCAGATTAACTGTGTAAAAAATCTCAATACAGATTGAGCGTTTGCAATTTTTTTTAAAAATAACCATGGAAACTTGTACATTTTACTCCGCGGGCTTCCAATTCTTGAGGGGAATTTTGTAACGCGATCCCCGCGATCGAGGACTGATTACTATGTTTCATATTTAACTCTAGTAGGATAGTAGATAACAACGCTTCTAAATGTCATTCAGTATCCAAATGTACTTTCGGTTCATGACGCTACGCGTTCGGGCATGATTGTAGCCTATTAACAATCTTTCGGCATTGCACAGTTCAAACGTGTGACGCGTTACACAGGCTTCAGCGTGAATTTACTCGAACCAAGCGCTGTCCGTGCGCGTACCTTACCTCGCACTGGATATTGGACCAAACAGCCAGCTCACTGAGTAACATACACCAGAAGTGGGTTTGGTGCAGAGTAACGCATAGAAAGTCGCTGACAGACGGCATAATCAAAGTTTTGCCTTCCTAGAGGAACGACATTTTGACTGCCGCAAACAACCAGGTTCGCTACTGACCCATGATGTAGGCGGAGCCGTGAACTACGCGTAAAACTGCTTGCAATGCAGCGGACTTCTAAAACATCAATCTCATTAGCCTCCTCATCTCTCGTAGCGACGTAAAAGATGTTTTGTTTTAGTGTGCTAGAATACGCCAGTGAACTTCGATAAGATTTTCAATGACGTCAAGCCGCATTCTCGCGGCCAATTTGATTCTTCCCATTGACTGGCGTTTACAGCCTATGGGTATAAATCTTTTGCGTCCACGAATAGACCAAGTTTAATTACCGCATTGTCACGCACCAGGAGCTCGGTAGAAATCTGTCACGCGACTGATGGTAGGCCATAAGAGCTTCCGTCTGAATGAGTCACCTGTTGATTCCTCACTTTAAACGAACAGGCTTCAGGGGTGTAGGGGTGTCAGCGGTGGGTTCACGTAATGGTCGTGGTGGTCGCTCAGTTGCTTGCAGGTGAGACTGCGCCTAGCGTCCACTTGCTGGCACTCAACTCTCACCTGTGGCTCCACGTAGCTGGACTCTGCTCAGCGGCCACACCCCGGGCAACCGTCTCGACCGGCGGGCTAAACCAGGTGAGGGGGCCCTGTGTGCTGTGCCGTGTGCACAGGGTTTGCGGACTCCGCTGGATGGAAGGTCGGATGGAACCTTGCGTCGGCACCGTCGTGACGTGGTTCGTCTCTGCACGTCGCTTGACAGCCGGTGACGGGATGGATCTCCACATCGGCATCGCCTTGACGCGCCCACCTACGCCGTCGGAGACCGCGGCTTACGGCGAATTCGAGTCGCTCTCCACTACAAGCATAAAAGTCGTGGCCCCAGAGTGGAGTTCGGCCGTGCCACAACGGCACATGGCAGCCCTATTCAGGGATGGCACTGCCAGCCCCCACGAGGGGAAGGGCCTAGAAAAGGTGGCCTAAAAATTGCTGGGTACCACGCCGTCTCCAGGCTAGCCAGGGCCGCAGACGTCTTATCATGGTCGAAACAATCAAAATCGAAACAACAACAATACCAATAACAACAACCATACTCATTCTCCTCATCCTACCTCTTCTTCCTCTTCCTCTGCCTATTCTTCTCCTTAGTCACCTTCTTCTCCATCTCCTTCCCGTCGCCCCACTCGTTGTCAGCAGACTGGCAGAGTGAGCCCGCTCACTCTGGCAGCCTGGAATGTTCGTTCCCTTTTAGACAATCCGAGGAGCAACCAACCGGAACGGAGGACGGCGCTAGTGGCACGAGAACTGGCGCGCTACAAGGTGGACATCGCCGCACTCAGCGAGACCCGATTCTCCGAACACGCCCAACTGGAGGAGGTGGGTGCCGGCTACACCTTCTTCTGGAGCGGTCGACCCAGGGCAGAGCGACGGGACGCGGGTGTCGCCTTCGCCATCCGGAACGACATCGTGGGACGACTGCCCTGTTTGCCGCAGGGCATCAACGATCGCCTGATGAGCCTCCGCCTGCCTCTCTGGGGAGGCAAATTCGCCACCATTATCAGCGCCTACGCTCCGACGATGACCAACCCCGACACCGACAGAGACAAATTCTACGAGGACCTGCACGCCCTTTTGGCGACTGTGTCGAAGGCGGACAAGTTGATTGTCCTTGGTGACTTCAACGCCCGCGTCGGCACAGACCATACTGCCTGGAGAGGAGTGCTGGGTCCCCACAGTCTCCGCGGCTCAAACGAAAATGGTCTGCTGCTTCTCCGCACCTGCGCAGAACACTGCCTCATCCTGACGTACACGTTCTTCTGTCTGCCGGAGCGAGAGAAGGCCACCTGGAGGCATCCTCGGTCGCGCCAGTGGCACCTGCTGGACTATGTCCTCGTCCGGAGGCGAAATCAGCGGGACGTGCTGGTGACGAAGGCGATCGCGGGTGCTGACGGGTGGACCGACCATCGCCTCGTCATCTCGAAGATGCGTATTCGCCTACAGCCTCGCAGGAGACCTCAAGGTAAGCGACCCCCAGGTAAGCTGAATGTTGCCTTGTTGTCTTTGCCCGCTCACCATCTTCATTTCAGCAATGAGCTAGCTCAAAGGCTAGACAACTTTCCTATCGCTGCCGACGCCGCCGCTGCCGAGAACGCCTCCGTGGAGAACCGCCGGTGTCAACTGCGAGACGCGGTCCAGTCGACGGCGGTCGCCGTCCTCGTTCGCGCTCCCCGCCAACACCAGAACTGGTTCGACGACAACGACGCCGCCATCAGAAACCTGCTTGCTGAGAAGAACCGCCTACACAAAACCTACGTAGATCACCCCTCTGATGCCACCAAAGCTGCCTTCTACCGCAGTCGCCGCCACCTTCAGCAACGACTGCGCGAGATGCCGGACGCCTGGACTGCTAGCAAAGCTGAGGAGATCCAAGTGTACGCGGACCGCAACGAATGGAAGAACTTCTTCTCTGCGATCAAAGCTGTCTACGGTTCGCCGACAAAGGGCACTTCTCCTCTCCTCAGCGCCGACGGCAGCACTCTCCTGACTGAGAAGACGCAAATCCTGCAGCGATGGGCCGAGCATTTCCGAGGCGTCCTCAACCGCCCCTCCGTCATCTCCGACGCCGCCATCGAGCGTTTGCCGCAAGTGGAGACCAACGCGGACCTCGACCTCCCGCCATCTCTCCAGGAAACCATCAGGGCCGTGCAGCAGCTCTCCAGCGGGAAAGCACCCGGATCTGACGCGATCCCTGCTGAGGTCTACAAGCACAGAGGTCCCCAACTGATGGATCACCTGACTGCGCTCTTCCAAGAGATGTGGCGTCAAGGTGAAGTCCCGCAAGATTTCAAGGACGCAACAATCGTGCATCTCTACAAGCGCAAAGGGAATCGCCAAGTCTGCAACAATCCCCGTGGCATCTCCCTGTTGAACATCGCCGGGAAGATCTTCGTACGAATCCTCCTCAACCGCCTCAATAACCATCTGGAACAGGGCCTTCTGCCGGAAAGCCAATGCGGCTTCCGTCGCCATCGTGGGACCACGAATATGATCTTCGCAGCCCGTCAGCTTCAGGAGAAGTGTCAGGAGATGCGGACCCACCTGTACTCTACCTTCGTGGACCTGACGAAAGCCTTCGACACGGTGAATCGTGAAGGACTGTGAAAGATTATGCAGAAATTCGGCTGTCCGGAGCGATTCACTCAGATGGTGCGTCAGCTGCACGACGGTATGATGGCGCGAGTCATGGACAACGGAGCTGTCTCAGAGGCATTCGCAGTGACCAATGGAGTGAAGCAGGGCTGCGTACTGGCGCCTACCCTCTTCAGTCTTATGTTCTCTGCCATGCTGATGGACGCCTACCGCGACGAACGCCCCGGGATCCGCATCGCCTACAGGACGGACGGTCACCTGCTGAATCAACGACGGATGCACTTCCAATCGCGCGTATCCACAACCACCGTTCACGAAAACCTCTTCGACGACGACTGCGCCCTGAACACCACCTCGGAAGAGGAGATGCAACGGAGCATGGACCTATTCTCCGCCGCCTGCGAGAACTTCGGTCTGGTCATTAACACGCAGAAGACGGTGGTGATGCACCAACCGCCACCCAACTCGGCCACAGCCCCCAACGCGTCGCCGCAAATCAGCGTGAACGGGACCCAACTGCAAGTGGTGGACAACTTCCCGTACCTAGGCAGTACTCTCTCCCGCAACACCAAGATCGACGACGAAGTCGCCAACAGGATCTCGAAAGCCAGTCAAGCCTTCGGTCGCCTCCAAAGCACAGTTTGGAATCGCCACGGTCTTCAGCTGAGCACGAAACTGAAGATGTACAAGGCCGTCATCCTGCCGACACTACTGTATGGAGCGGAGACATGGACGGTGTATGCAAATCATGCACGTCGTCTGAACCACTTCCATCTCACTTGTTGTCGTCGCATCCTGAGGCTGAAGTGGCAGGATCGAATCTCCGACACTGATGTGCTAGAACGGACGAGAATCCTCAGCATCTACGCCATACTGAGGCAAATTCAGCTGCGCTGGAGCGTCCACCTGGTGCGCATGGACGACGAGCGACTACCCAAACGACTCTTCTACGGAGACGTCGCGAGGGGTTCTCGCCGTCAAGGAGGCCAGATTCGCCGTTACAAGGATACCCTGAAGTCCTCCCTGAAATGCCTACAAATCAACCCCACCAACTGGGAGGAGCTCGCACTCGATCGACCGACCTGAAGGAGGACAGTGAAGACAGGCGCTGCGATCTACGAAGCCAACCGCATCGCTGCCGTCAAAGCGAAACGTGAAGCCCGCAAATCACAACTTCGCCCAGTAAGCAACGTCGCCGCACAACCGCTTCCAACGTGTCCTCGATGTCAACGGACATTCCAGGCTCGAATCGGACTTGTTGGACATCTTCGGATTAACTGCGCCTCTCGAACGGCACCAACCATCGTCCCCCCGCCTGCCTCTTCCTCCTCGTCTCCGCCGCCAAATAACCCTGACAATTCTTCTGACCCACCACTTCCATCATCATCATCATCATCATCATCATCATCATCATCATCATCATCATCATCATCATCATCATCATCATCATCATCATCATCATCATCATCATCATCATCATCGTCATCATCATCATCATCATCATCCTCGCCCACTGCTCCAACGGCGGCCGCTCAAGCGACTGTCCCGCGCACAGCAACCGACACTACCACCACCTCCACCGACTCCAGGGATGAGGATCGGGACTACACCTGCCCTCACTGCGACCGTACCTTCACCTCACACATCGGCCTGGTCGGTCACTTACGAATCCATCGCACAGAGACTGGTTAACCAGTGCGCGAAGCACCAACCTACACCCACCGCACTCGCCTCCACTGCCCACACTGCCCTCCCACCTTCAGGCATCGCGTGGGCCTTTTCGGCCACATACGCATCCACGACGACCTGCGGTAGACAACCGCTGGTCACACCACACATTCACTCACTCCCTACCTCCACCACCACCACCACCACCACCACCACCACCACCACCACCACCACCACCACCATCACCCCACCAGAAATCAACACTCAGACACCTCATGCACCCAACTGCCACCTCCCACGCAAGTGGGAAGTCCGCATCTCGACTCGGTCCCCATGCGGCTTCGGCTGCACGGGTGACTTGAGTCCGAGACTATCCCGACACGTCAAGCGTCGTGGATAGGAAGGTTGCTGATCGACGCCCGCTTTCAGTTCACGCAGTTCGTCGCGTTGTGTGTGTGTGTTGTGTGGAGTGGCGGACTGGTGGGCTGGGAACGGGCTGAAACAGCACCTTTCACGGCACTCTCACGCAAGTGAGAGACACGCCTTTCAAACCCCGTTGTGTGAAATCCTGGTGTTGTGTGTATGGGGGGCCAGGTCGTGCCGTGGCGCGCGCAGTCATGGTCAGTCGATCATGCCAGCCACCGCGCCCATTCCCCACTCGAGTCTGCTGACCGGATCGGACAGCGGCTGGGGTGTGGGAGTGGGAAGGGAGAGTGAGATCGACGACTCAGCGCACTTCCTCCTCACTATAAACAATCTGACGCGCTTGAAGCTATCACGGTGCGCTTAAAGCCGTGGCTTGGAATGTTGCCAACTGACGAGGACCAGGGGGTGTGGTGGAACGCCAAGGTGAGGATCCGTCCGAGCCATCCACCTGCGACCTCTCTCGTCTCCGGTCTTCTTGACTCTGTCTTGACACCGGGCTCGGGCGAGGGAGGAGGAGAGAGTGTAGGTAGATGCTACGCAAGTCTACCGACAATATAAACCCCTGCGTAAGTCACCGTCCCTGCTCCCATTGCTGCTGCAACAGTGGGGCACACGGTGGATATCATCGAAACCGATGGTCGAACTGTCATACACAACGACTTATCCACCAAAACGACGCTGGCAAATTGCATCGACTAGTTTTTACCAGGGCGGTAGGTGAAGCTTAGTTGATTTTTGTCGCGTATCAGCATTTAACTTCAATGCTTCATGTATTGGATAGCTATATGCTTGTGCTTGGACTTTGGTGTTGGCCGGGGCTCCTGATGCTGGTTCTGCGGTTTCAAGTGGCCGTTCAGGTCGGTTTCGAGTTTGCTATGTGTGATTACAATGGAGGCAAGTTAGCATTTAGTCTAGATTTCCAGTGGTGGATGGACGTTATGTTTTTGCGATGTTGCCGTTACAGCACGTATGGATATTATTGGTAGATTGATGCTCATCGATCAATTTGCGGCGTATACTGGTTCCGTCATGCCTTGGGTATGGCTGGTTGATGACGGCCAATAGGCCAGAAATGGCCATTCCCGTCCCCCTTGCCCTTGTAGGTACTGCATTATCCACGTACATAGATGTCCAACCGGGAAGATCGAAAAGTGAAGCGAGGCGCAAAATATGAGTATGGATGAAGTAGGAGTGTTAGCAGTGATGTTGGTGACGGCGGCGGTGGTGATGTTTTGTGTAATGGGCGGTGGGTTGATTATGCTGTCCTGGTGTTAGGTCATATGGTGACCTAAGAAGATAATCCATGCTCTAAAAGCCAGTTGGCAGTGCAGGCATGCTGGCAGGGAGAGGGTACTGGCGACACCATCCTTCTGTGCCTGTTGTTTCGTATTGACCACCGATATTAATTAAACTCTGAAGATGGCTGCTCCAGTTTCTAGTGCAGTTCGTCGGTCCTGACAATCCTGTATGAGATCTTTTCGGGATCCATGGTTGATTTACTAGTATTTAAGACAGGTCTTCGGGGTAACCAACTATTCTGGGAGCTCAAGTAACGATGGACGCTATAGAACTGACGCATTAGTAGGCTTCCGTCAACTGTCATCATAATGTGGACGCTTCATCGCAGCTGCATCCGCTTCCGCATGGCGCAGATACTGATGTGTCCGCTGTTTCTTACATCTAACCCTTAGGATTCCTTCCCTCTACTGCACCTTTAATGCTCTATGGAGGCAAATGAGATGATCGCAATTGGGCTTCCTTTGACTGTCAACGTTTCCTCCCTGTGCAAGAATGCAGTCAGAACGACAGTCCTACATGAAAGTAGTTCCATATTAAAGAGGATGCTGAAGCCTAGTAAAAGCCATACTGGCTTTGGATATTGGAGTTTCAATTTCGTCATGAATTTGAAGATATTACTCCGGGGTGTTTAAGTTTCTCCGAAGCTGCGAGGACCGAAATCTATGGGTTCATTGTATTTATCAGTTGTCGCCGGTTCACGTATGACCATTGTCTTCTCCGCGCTAATGACAAATTCTAAATTTGAATAGCCGAAGATAAAGGAATTCAAGCACAACCGTGTGGTTCATTAGGTTGAGATTATGATATGGCGTATATGGGAGCAGGGTTTCGTCCATAATCGATCCCTACCATGGTAGTGCCAGGTTTATCACGTGGTCCAGCTGCTTACAGAGTTTTGGTTTCCTCCTCCGTATTGCAACGGCCCCTGCAAAGCGCAAGAGACGCCCAATGTACTTGCATTCGCAACTACATGTGAACCCATAGATACAGTTTGATGTGGCGTGCATAGACAAAATGTCTTTAGCTGGTCTAACCGGGATGGCCGTTGTGGTGCTTATGAACAACAATTTAGAGGCGGCATACGTCCTTTTGATTATGCACCGAAGTCGTCGCTTGATCACGTTTGACACGCTATCACCCTTGAAGAGGAGGTACATGGTCACGGACTTTTTAGGTACAGATATTTCTTCAGGAGTTTCTTGTCTGGGATGGCGATATTTATCGATTAATTTTTCCGGATACCCGGAAGTATGCCTTCGTTTATCTATCGTTGGAATCAGACCGTTACCTGCATTTTGCACAAATGTACCTGAAGACACCTTATTTCCAATAAAAGATACGAAGACGCAACTTTCTACTTAGATGAGTATGAGGAAGACTATCTGCGTTCACGTTCTGTGAAATCCACTTGGGTTCATAGAGCGTCAGATATCAATAGGGGAACCCCATGCCATTTAACTAGTCGTCCGCTGTCGAACACCGCCTTGGCAAACGATGGAGAAGAGACTCATCCGGAAGACGACATACTGGCGTGACTGAGGTATCTCGGGACTGGGCTGCACAATAATGCGACCCAAATCGAGTAACCTCTCCTAACCGAAAACGCATTGCAGAGCCCCGGTTAACATTTCATGAGGTCGGCCAGCTATCGCGTTTACTGCTGCTTGACCATACCTCGGGGGAGGAACCCCCTATTTCCAGCGCCCCCCCCCTCCAAAAGCCCTTATTATTCCTTTTCATAAACCCTTGAAGGAGATTCTTAGGGTCAACAACGTATTGCAATACACCCAAGTCCCTCTGAGCATTTTATAACCAGCAGAAGTTATAGAAAACGAACACCCGTGCCAAAAGTGTGAAAACAGAAATATGCCCTTTTGTCGATTATGAGATTTTGGTTAATCTTTAAGGGGTTTCGACAAATGTCGAAATTGCATCAAACCGAAGTATGTCCGACCAGTGTTTCGTGAATTGCGAAGCTCAAGCCCGACGTCAACGAAACCGATCACCCAGCCATTATCGTCCCGACAAATTAGAACACAGGCATCAAGATATATCACATACTCCTGTACAAAACGCCTATACACAAAATCATCATCATCATGATCACGGAGAGATGGAGGTGTGAGTACAGACGTATTTTTGGTAGTGTCAGCTGGTTTGCCGACGAACTGAAAAAAAGTGGAAGGAAATCAGTTAAATGGCCCCGTAGGTCATCGATGAGGGGGAACGACCCTCCTCCCGCACTGCCGCGGTAGGTTTGTCTTGTTGGGCAAACCTATAGACCTCTTCATCCTCCAGGTTCTCGATCAGTGGGCGTGTAACTTCGTCCTCGGGTGTCGGCGCCGGTGGGAGATAGCGGTTGACAACGAAAAGGTACAGCAGGGTAAATACAATCGCCATGAGCGGTATGACAAGGGGTCCGAAGAGTTTTGGGTATAGCGAGAGCGAACTCTGCACCGGCGGTTCGCCCATGCTCAGCACAAAAGTCCTACAAAAAAGAAGAGACAAAGGGTTTAACTCGAGCGATGGTCGGACTTTACTCTAAAATGTAGTCGAAATAATCATAGGAGGCGGGTATCGGCAGTACGGAAGAGCCGGTCATGCAGCCACAGCGAGTTGACTAGCAACTCACGGGTCAGCTAGTGGTACGGGTGAAAGTGTTTGTGCAACTTGCAGGCCGTCCGTAAAACGGGCATACGTTCGTTGGACCGTGATGAGTCCACATGAGCCCTTAATCACTGCGGTGCAGGCGTGAGGCGCACCACGGACGGGGGTTGACGCCACTAATTATGAGATTATTTAAGACCACACAACTTCGTACCTGTCCGTTTACCACTGCTCCTCATGAAATGTACAACAAAGTCCGCATCCATTGCAAAATTTTGTGGACTCTATATGGTATCTTTTTAACGGCATAGAAGAATGCCTGATTTTTCATTATACGGAACGCATGCACCTTGTAGAGTGAAAACACTAAGCGCTAATGTAACGGCTGATTAGGCCACAAATTATTCGGGAATGAAAACGTTTTTAAAACCTAATTATACTCCTTCTTCAAGTATACAATACAAAGATGACGTGATTCTCAATCAAATGAGTAAAAGAAAGTATTTATTGTCTATGTTTTGTATAAAATATATTTGAATGAATTGGAACGCAGGCATACCAAGAAATATAAATTGAAATCAAAAACGTTCTTTGGGAAAGGGAGAATTTATAAAACCATCGAAAATCAATGCGAAAAATGCATGCTGCTTAAGTAGTAACTCTCTAATGAGTACGGATTCTACAGGAGGTCGAAAACAAGTGCATTCAAACGTCGACACCCTGCCGAGTCTGAAATGTTATGGGATTGTGCCGCAAGACCGTCAGTATTACAAATCCACCTAAGTAATCCTTCCTAATGTAAAACGCATTTCTGAATTTCGGCCAGCATTTCATGAGATCGGTCACGCACTGTAAGCGTGGAAATAGACTAGGTCGCATGCAGTATGCGTAGACGGGCCGCTTGGCAGTGTCGGTGCCTACCCCCACTTCCGATCATCATGACTT